ATATGTGCTAACCTTGAGTACTTCGTTGTTGACGTACTCCTGAGTGTATTTTGAAGCAGTTCATCTCAGCTGTGACGACTATGCTAGGCTTCACTACAGGCCGGTGAGTGCGTATTGCTGTGCATTTCTTTTAGCTATCTCATACTGATACATTCTTTTTCCGTACTATTTGGTCTTCAGGCCGAGCGAGATCACTAGATGTGGTGATAAAAAGTCCTGTCCTGGCAGCAAACTCCGAGAAGAGAAGGCAGAGGCGCGTCCTGCTGATCAACACGAGGGCGGTGAGTTGCCGGGGTCCGGAGAACGAGAAGACCCTGGTTTATCCGTCAATGTTACTATGATCGAGAAGAGAAGCCCTTACTCGCGCAGTGTTTTCGTTGAGGGTGAGCACAAGAACAGCGACGCTCGACACGTATCGTTGGTGTCGCCGAGAGAATACGCCGTTGGGACCCGTCGCGCTGCTTATAGTGGCGGCACTGTGGAGGAGCCCGTCGATCTGCTGAACGCAGATAACCAGGAGATGTGGAGGTCGCCCCTTGAAACAAAAGGTGGTGAGGGCTCGTATCTGGTTGACGACGCCACCGATTAGTCTTCAGCCTGTTCGGACGCTGGCATTGCTGCTGCAGAGCATCGTTGTCCGTTGTGCAATGATGAGGATAAGACGAGGATGTTGGTGTATGCTGACCCCACCAAGGAGCCGAGCGACCTGCTTCAACTCGATCTAAAAGGCCAATCTGAGCAAGAAATTCGCGCTGTTGGTCAGGACACGAACCGGCGTAAATGGCGTCGCAGAGACTCAGAACGTCAAGTGTGTATCAAGCGCCGCGCCGTCTGCAATACCTGTCACCATTCTCTCGAAAGTGTGGCCGACACAAACACCATGTCGAAGCCTCGTACACGTTACCTTGGCGCTTGTCCGTTGATTGTTGAAGCAGCTACCATGCAAGCTACCTCACTCGCAGATTTCAAGCTTTCCCAGGACGATGACATCCCCGAAGATTGTGTTGCCGTACGGTCCAGCCAGTCCACCATAACCGAGCCGCCTTCTCCAGTTGGTTTGTCGCGAGTCGACGCTGGAACTTCACCGACACCTTCAACGACTGGTTCTGCTATAACTCTATCATCAACAGGAACGTGTGAGCCTTGGTCACCACCACCTGCATATCGGCGGGAAGTTCTCCTCCGCAGGCTGGACCCGTCGTCAGTGCCTTCCTGGTTTGCGGAGATCTACGATTCGGACGGCTACGATACCGACGTTCTTGAGCGTCTCGTTCCTACTACACCGTCCCCCCCGTCACCGTCTAGTTCGGCCGCTAGCTCACCAGGGCTTACGACCGTGACCGACACCAGGGCGAATACAGATCGCGGTGATTGGATTCCCGCACCGTGGCCTTCCGGTGTCGACATCATTACTGAGCACAGGAACCCGATGCATTGGATGTTCGACAACGTTGGCATGTCTGTAAATGGAACAAGTGATTGCGGTTGCCGTAGTCGCTGCAACGTCACCTCTTGTGTACACGCGCGCGATAGTAGATTTTCCGCCAGCGCCACGAACAAATGATGCTTCTGCTAAGCACACTAGGCGGAAAAAGTAGTGCTAAGTAAGTAAAACGACGTAGTAACTACAGAAAGACTTTTAACACATTTTAATAAACCGAGTTGACATTACACGTACGCTTCGGGTGGATGTTCATGCACGATCTTAATCTGGCTGATACCGACAGTACGCACTCTGAAGTTGACCATTCTAAAGAGGTTGTCCAGCCGTCGCTGCCGCTTCTCCATCTCGAACGGCAAGGGCATGGCTAGGCGTTTGTACATCTTCTCCACGGAGCCCATACCCCACTCGGCCGACTGACGGATGAAAGTGATTGCACCCGATAGAGCTGTAGCCACAGGTCGAACCGAAGGTACCAGGCGCCGAAGATCTCCATCCTTCAAAGGAGTCATGATCCTACCCGTCATTTCATTCGAGCAAGGGAATGCACTATCGGCGACAATGCCGTAGCGGGAATCGGGGTTCAGGGACGTATCTGCCAGTTTGCTGCGAAAGCCGAGGCTGGTATCGCCGTCGTTCCAGCTTCCTGGGCAATTGTGTTTTGCCCACACAATTAGCCCGTCAGCACTGAAGCATAATGTTCCCGTAACGAAGACGTGATGCAGCCAACCATTGTAATGCGCATTTTGGAGATCGACGTCAGATGGCTGCTGTACCGGTAACCAAATCAATACACGTACATTTACAATCTAAAGTTAGAAGTGTTGAACTCTTAAATGACTACGTACAATTACTCTCACTCTAAAGTTTTTTCCCATCGAGAAACCCCCATGTATATCTCAGCAACGGCTGCCGGTTCTCAACTAGTTGGACAAGTGCACGTTGCCGTGCGGGGGAGGGTCACACAATTCGAGCTGGACTAAAGCCCACTAAAGCCGATGCCAGGGCTTCCTCCGCCGCGTTGAGAACTCTACTCAACGTCGACGGAGGCACTCCGAATTCCGAGCACAGGGTACTCCGCTTCATAGATCAAACACAGAAAGCAAGAAGCAAACCCAGCACCTGGTGGTGGTGCTGGAGCCGCCGTGGCCGACCGCCTGCTGGATTGTATACTGGAATGAAGTAGAATTGGGAGAATCGCTCCAAGAGCTGCTCAAACGCGCCCCTGGCACACATAAATAAATAAATAAATAAATAAATAAATAAAAATAACAGGTTAATCAAAAATCATTGCTCTGGCACATACAAACATCGTCGTGAGTTACTACCTTGATAGGCTAGTTTTGCTAAGCATATTCTTCTCGGTGCCCCGACACCAAAGATCCATTCAATTCGACTCTTTGGGGTGTTTTAGACAGTCGAGGGTCACGTAATGCCGCATGCGCAGCAACCGTTCCCAATCTACACGCCTCCTCTCTTCATGCAGCCGTATACGAAGCCGTTTAACACGCTTTTCGAGATTGTGTCGCGTTTGCGACGTCGCGCATAGCGCGAGAAGAACGCCGGCGCCGCGCATGGGCCCCTCTCTCGTTTGAATCTGGCGAGAGAAAGCCGTGAGTTGCAGGTAAGAGGTCACGGGCAGCGCGCCATCGTGGTGGTACCTTAAAAAAATAGACAAATTTATCAGTTTTTTGTCCCATTTAAATTAGTAAAGATCGTCCGTTAATAATGAAATCAATATGTTAGATACTTCAACCTCACTCTATTCGGAGCGGAATAAATTTTAATGTAGGGTTTTGGCAGTACGGTTTTGATAAAACCGGTATAAAAACGCATCACCGTGATAAAAGTGTGATTAAAGGGCTTTGTGATAAAACCGTTTTATACAGGTTTTGGAAGGCACCCATAGGGACACAAGTAGCTTGCCCCCTGCTACCACGACAGTCAACAGGGCAATAGCTGTAGCTATTAAGTCAGCCCTCGAGGGTAACGAGCTACGTCATTCTGAATCGGCACACAAAGAGCACTAAATGTATTAAAATGGACAAAATTGAATATTTTTTTAGCTTTCATTGAGTTTGGTATGGGAAGTGATCAATCTTTAGCTACTTACAAGATTAAACATGCAGTACAAGCGAGTAAGTAGTGCAAATTGGACACGCCATTACTATCTTTGACGTTAGTGTGAGCTAAGTATCATGGCTTAGAAACGGCCCGTCGTATAAGCACGACGCTAAGCAAAACATATTGTGTAGCGTTTGTATAAATAATTTTTAAAGTGCAGGTAGTTTTGGGTGGAAGATGAAGATTAAAGTGATAGCCAACAATAATAAAGAGGTTGTAGTAAGAATCATGATGCAAGATCATTAGAAAAACTATCTTTAGCTGACCCGAATTCATTAAATTAAAAATATCGAGGCTTAGCGTCTTATTAATTTTTATCCCGCCGAAGCGTAGCGGCGCCGGGAAGGCCAAAACAAGTAGAGCTAAACCTAAACTACCGCCGCGTAGCGGCGGCACTCGGCTAGTCCTACAATAATAAAGAGACTGTGTCAAGATCACTAGAGTAATCTTTTTTAAGTATGATAAGTATGCTCAGTTTCTTGTAGAAATAATTGTACGGCTTACTCGGAACTCAGCATTCTGTGGCGAATACAGAAATCTGCCTGAATAAGGAACGGGGTTTCAACTAATAACCTCGCAAGTTTTATAGTCGGGAAAGATTTAGGGAGATGGGAAAGTGATGGGCAAGGTACTGACAAAACAATCCAGGCACTGACTGATTTCAATTCAAAAAATGGCGCGCAGTAGGTGATCCTCCTTCGCTTCAAGCCCTGCGAGCCGAACTTCATTCCTACATTTACATTCAAGCTCACTAGCCGACTGCGTCCTCAGCACCCCATGTCCTCCAATCGTCTCCGCCTCACCTGGTCCGAGAAGGCAACATCCGTGTTAAGAAGCTACCCCCGAACACCACCGCCAAGATCCAGCAACTGGATCAGGGGATCATCAATTGCATTCAACGCACATCTTATCGCAAAAAATGATGTTCGCATTGGATCGCCTAGGCGAAGGCCTCGACAACCCGTACAACGTCGACCAGTTAGCTGCACTGCTCTGGTGCGAGGCTGCATGGTCTAAAGCTAGCGCTTCCACGATTCAGCACTGCTGGAATCTCTGGTCTCATTCAAAAGTCGAATCTTCAATTTATCCTAGCTTAATTCAATACATGGACATGATCCGATATCAGAGTCTGTTTTTAGCGAGGCATTGTCAGCTTATGCAATCTCTTTCTTAATTTATATCAGGCGCTCCTTATTCAGGCAGATTTCTGTACATGTAGTCTAAATTAAACCCAGATTTACGATATTAAAGAAGATCAATTTAAGCACATAGGAATTCGGGGGTTTTGGAATAATTATCCCGAAGGTAATAAAACCTACTACCGGGATACATGTAGTAGGTCAATAATATCAACTAAACAGATCTTAATACGATTGTCTAAAACATCACCGGATAATTTATTGCGGACTCATAAAACGAGATCCTGATAACCTGGTTACGAGTAGACCGCTAGCATCTCGTCAATCTCGAGACGGCAGATCGGACACTTGGCCACCTCTTCACGACGGGAGCAGGCCTCACAGAGACACAAGTGACGGCATGGCAGACACAGAATGGTCTTCTCGTTCGACAGACAGATCACGCAGAGCTTGAGTTCGTTCTGCTCCTCCACTTGGCGGTCCAGTTTCTTCTGCATCTCCAGCGCCTTATCCTCCTTCGCAGAGCGGACGTGACTCAACGTGGTTTCGAGCAGATGCTCCCACTCCTTCAACTCGTCCATCGAGCAGTGTGTGAGAGTCGTGGCGGACGCGAGAGTGAGCGCCGATCGAACGCTACGAAAGGAGTGCGAAGCTTGCGAGCGACTCGCAACAGTGTAAGCCGCCTGGACTTGTTGATGAGGATCCAGAGTCCTCAGGTCGACCGTGTGCTCCTTGTGCTTCAGACGGTTGCGTAATGTGGCCACCTCCTGCATGAGAGAGTCGTGGTGCTGCGCGTGGTTTTCGAAGCCGTGCAGCTGCGTCTGCAGCGAGTCGTTCTCGAACAGCAACCCGTCGCGGTCTCGTTCGACTCGGTCAATCAGCAAGTGCAGCTTCTGGTTGTTGTGGCTCAGCTGGAGGATGCGACGACGTGCGAACGCCACTTGCTCCTGCATCTCTCGATTGCGAACGATCAGGTCTTCGCAGTATCGTCGCCACGGTTTCTCAGCGCCGTCGTCACCTTCGTGTTCAGTCCAGTGACCGGATTCAGTGAGAGCGTCACGTGCAGCAGCCGACGCGGTCGAAGTCACAGTCGACGACGCTTGTGCTTCGCCAGAGGACACGGAGACTCGTGTAGCTGAACACCGCGAGTCAATGAAACTGTCGTCGTGAACGAGCTCGTCGAAAAGTGAGTGGTCCAGCAGCTTCTCTTCGTCGGGGGCCTGTAGCTCAAGAGCGCTAGTGCTATCGAAACTGGCGTCATTCTCGTCATCTTCGCTTGAATACTCGTCACCCAGCGCTCCATTGTCCCAGCCAAGCTGCATTGAGATGCCTTGATGCCGCACAGGTTCGAACTGCTCTCTCATTTCCACACTTCCGGCAGATAGATCCAGTAGCGGCGAGGAATTGAGCTGCGCGTACTCCAGCGGACGACTAGCGCCCCACTCTCCGTCGCTGCTGTCTTCTTCGCTGTCACTCAAGAGAGTCTGTTGTTGAGCCACGTCCTGTCGAGGTCGGAAGCGCTCGATGATCCGACTTCTGTCTGCAAACGACTGAGGAAATGAAGCTCCGTCGTCGCTTGGATAGTTATGTGCTCGACGCTGCCCTTCCGCAGGAGATTTGACTTGATACTGACGAAACAAGTTGCCTCGGATCCTCCCAAACGGACCTCTCCCCCACGTGAGTCCATCAACTGCCAACGCGCATCTCCTGGCCATCTCTGGGTCGTCGAACTCGAGAAACGCGTGGCCTTTTGTACGTCCTGACGAGCTAGCCGACGGGATCACCAATTGGATGGGGTCTCCGACCATGCAGAACAAGTGGCACGACAAGATTTCCATCAGCTCCTCCGTCCGATCCATCGACACTTTGGGCAGATTGGTCAGCACACAGACGCTGTTGAAACACGTCCCCGGACGCGCGTTCCCAAACTCGAACTGCGCCATGTCAAACACTGGCCACTTGAAGGGAAGGAACGAACGTTGCTCCACGCTGTAGGCTTCGCTCACTGCCCAGTCGGGTCCGAGGTCTTCCCTCTCGTTCATGACGTCTACATGAGCGTCGGCCACCATCTTCACGAGGGACATGAAGATGTCGACGTAGGCCAGTTCACAGTCCGAGTCGTAATGGTCGATCTCCAGAGCGCCTGCTTCCAAGGCTGCACGCGTGATGTTCTCGCGGAAACCTAACCGGATCAGGTTCCCCAGCATGGCGTTCTTGATGGCGCGAGCTTTTGCAGCGTTGATAGCGCGGTTCGACGGGTCCATAATCTCGCCTTGCTCCAGCTGGAAACCTCGTTCTTCGTCTGTGTCTTCATTCCCGGGGTCATTATCGAAACTTGGGGGCCTTAATGACTCCGTACCAGCTTCGTTAGCGATGGAATTGTCTCCAACTTGCTGAAGCGAAGCGTTCTCTTCCTCGGTACCCTCATCGCCTTCGTACTCCTCGTTGTCACTACTTAGTGTGCTATCGTCCTCCTCCGCACACTCATACGGAGCAGGGAGCGACGGATGTAAGGCGGAGGCTGAGAAACTCCGCATTGGTGGAATATCCTCTGCTTGTTCAGCTCTATCTACAGCCGACCAAAGCTCAGCCGTCCGTGCAATTAGCGTTCGAATCTCAGCAGCTTCACTCTCGATCTCCCCCGCGAAGTCTCCACTAGCACCTGGAGCTGTAGGTATCATGTCACCACCTCCAGCTTTAGAACACAACATTCACATCTCTTATAAGCTACTCATTTACTGCACCAATACCAAAAACAGACACGACAACTCACAGTCTATAGGCTGCTGTAGACTGGAGCGTCGAATTCTGTTGCGAGTTCGCTCAAGCAGCTGCTGGCGACTTCCAGCGCGCCACATCTGCTTAGTCCTCGGTTCAGCTCCTAGTTCATTTGGCGCAGGTCTCGTTGGGACAGGTCGATGCGCTCCAACCTGTACGTCCTGCTCTGCGTCGCTCTCGGCCTTGTCGTGCGCGAGCTGTAGGGTGACATTTGGCTGAGTGTTGTGTTCTTCTTCTTCTTGCTGATTGGTGACCGCCACGACACCTTCCACCCGTGGCGGAGAGCGCAATTCGGTCGTATTTGATGGAGACCGCATTTTCTGGACTAAATTTGATTTTTAGTTTAATTAGGATTACGCGACGAGTTGTACGAGTTTGTAGATGATTATAGCGCAGATAGATGGCTCTGTTTATTGCGGATGAGATGCTGTAGTATTTGTGGCCGTGTGGCGCGTAAGGGCTGCGCTATGGCCGAAGAGGGCAGGCGAGGACGCGGCGATGCGGGCGTGCGACTGCTAAAGGAAACGGTTTATGCTCAAGATTGCAAAACCGAGTTTGACGGGGCTGGGTTTCGATACACCAACCTGCTGATGCCATCCATTTCGACTGAAGATTGCTTTCTCCTTTCTGACCAATCGTAATCGGTTTCAAAGCAATTTTTGACCAATCGTAGTACTTCAGCTATCAAGATTCTGGCTCACTGTCTTTCCAGAAGTTCAAACGCACAAGTCAAAGCGTGAGCCTCGAGCGGAACTTCGGTGCGTGACGTTGCCTCCCTTCACTGGTCCCCCAGACGTCAATACATAGCCGACTTCGTCCTTATCTCTCCGCCTATAGTATCTTCGTGTGTGCGTGAAACAGCGGCGTCCAGATCTTCGTCACAGAGGAGATAGCGTCGAATTGACTGAACAAGGTGCGGAACTGACGAAATATCAGCATTTTTTGCCGTCACCACGGCATTGAATTATAAAAAATAGCTGCAGCAGCACGAATTGTGTCCACCAAGATGTGCTGCCTGACCGAAGTGCTGTTACAGCGTCTAGAAACCAGGATAGTGTCACTGATGTTGGGACATTTGTACTACTGCATGTAGGCGTTGCAACAGGGCGAAACAAGTAAAGAAAAACAGATTCAAGATGGAAGCCGTGGGCCAGAAGCTGCTGGATTTCTCGCAACCTTTCGACGTGGCGGCGTTGGACCAGGTGGTGCAGTGCATGAACGACCCCAAGAGCCCTCACCAGCGCGTGGCCAACCAGATCATGGTGGCGCTGCAAGAGCACCAGGACTCGTGGACGCGTGCCTCGGACATTTTGGAGCAGTCCAGTAGCATCCAGACCAAGTTTTTCGGACTGCAGGTGCGAAGTCATACAGGTTTTGACAGAATGGAGGGGTCATTTGCTGATTTTAGTGTGAGACTTCAGATCTTGGAGGACGCAATCCGTTACCGCTGGAAGATCCTGCCTAAAGATCAACGTGAAGGCATCAAGAGTTATATTGTGGGCAAGCTGCTATCGGTACGCATTGTTTTTTTTATTTAATTTTTTTTTAGCTTATAATGATTTATTATATTTGATATGCAGATGTCGTCGGATGAGTCGACCCTGCACAGTCAGCGGGTGTTTGTGAACAAGATGGACCTGGTACTAGTGCAAGTACTGAAGCACGAGTGGCCCCAGAACTGGCCGTCGTTCATCACGGACATCGTGAACGCGAGCAAGACGTCGGAGATTTTGTGCGAGAACAACATGACGATCCTCAAGCTGCTGAGTGAAGAAGTGTTTGATTTCTCCAAGGACCAACTGACGGAGCAGAAGACCAAAACGCTCAAGGAGAGTCTCAACCACGAGTTCACGCAGATCTTCCAGCTGTGCGAGTTCGTGCTCAACAAGTCGACCCACGTGCCGCTTCTCCAGATCACGCTGCAGACGCTGCTGCGCTTCCTGAGCTGGATCCCGTTCGGGTTCATCTTTGAGACGGACCTCATCAAAATTCTCGTCACAAAATTTCTGGCAACGAACGTGTTCCGTAACGACACGATCAGCTGCTTGAGCGAGATCGCGCAGCTGCGAGATGTGCCGGAGCAGTACAGCAATGTCTACGTGCAGCTGTACATGGGCGTTCTGAACGAGGTGGGCAAGATTTTGCCTCCTGGCAGCTCCTTCACGCCCTTCTGGGAGCAGGACGAGGTGTTTGTGCAGCGCCTAAGTATCTTCTTCACCAGCTTCTTCCGCTTCCACATCCAGGTGATTGAACGCCCTATTGCTACACCCGGGGACGACGCTCATCAGGCTCTACTGGCTGGGTTCACGTACCTCGTGTGCATCGCAGAGGTGGATGACGACAGCATTTTCAAGATCTGCTTGGACTACTGGCATTTCTTCACGCGCGACCTGTACACTGTTGACCAGAACCAGATGAACCCACTTGCAGGCTTCCAGAACCAGTCGCGTAGTCGTCGCCAGTTGGTGTCGCCTGTTATGAACCGTGTGCGTCACGTGATGATCTCGAAGATGGTCAAGCCGTCGGAAGTGCTGATTGTGGAGGACGAGAACGGAGAGATTGTGCGCGAGACGACAAAAGACACGGAGGCGCTGTCGCAGTACAAGACGATGCACGAGACGCTGGTGTATTTGACGCACTTGAACTATGACGACACGGAGACGATCATGCTGGAGAAGCTGACAGCGCAAGTCGAAGGCACCGAGTGGTCGTGGAACAACCTCAACACTCTGTGCTGGGCTATCGGATCCATCTCGGGCGCCATGAGCGAAGAGAACGAGAAGCGCTTCCTGGTGACCGTGATCAAGGATCTGCTGGGTCTGTGTGAGATGAAGCGCGGCAAGGACAACAAGGCTGTGGTCGCCTCCAACATCATGTACGTCGTGGGCCAGTACCCGCGCTTCCTGCGTGCGCACTGGAAGTTCCTGCGCACGGTCGTCAACAAGCTCTTCGAGTTCATGCACGAGCTGCACCCTGGCGTCCAGGATATGGCGTGCGACACGTTTCTCAAGATCTCCCAGAAGTGCCGACGTAAGTTTGTGGTGCTGCAGAGTGGAGAGACGCGTCCGTTTGTCGAGGAATTGCTGGAAGAACTGCCGCGTATTGTGTCGGATCTGGAGACCCACCAAGTGCACACGTTCTACGAGGCGGTGGCGTCCATGCTCGCGGCTGAGAACGATGCTGGCCGGAAGGAAGTGCTCCTGGGTCGTCTGATGAACCTCCCAAACGAGGCCTGGAAGTCCATTATGTCGCAGGCGTCCCAGGCCGTCGACATCCTCTACGACAGTCGGGGAATCAAGGAGATTGTCAAGATTATCCGGACCAATGTCAAGGTGTGCAAGGCCATTGGACCCAACGGCTTTAACTCGCAGATGGGCTACATCTTCCAGGACATGCTCAACGTGTACGTGGCCTACACGCAGCGCATTGCGGCGATGGTGGAGCAGCGTGGAGAAATCGCAGTCAAGACGTCGGAGGTGCGGTCACTGCGTAGCGCCAAGAAGGAGAGCTTGCGTCTCATGGACGCGTTCGTGGAGCACACGGCAGGCGACGATTCTTCGCGGCAATTTGTGGCTACGCACTTCCTGCCGAAGCTGCTGGAGACGATCCTCTCGGACTATCAGAACACCACGCCCAGTGCCAAGGAGTCCGAGGTGTTGAGTCTGCTGGCGACGAGTATCAACAAGCTGAAAAACATTATCGCGCCCACAGTGCCCATGATCCTCGAGGCGGTGTTCGAGTGCACGCTGCAGATGATTACCAAGAACTTTGAGGACTTCCCGGAGCACCGAGTGAACTTTTTCAAGCTGCTACAGGCGGTGAATGACTTTTGCTTCGAGGCGCTGTTTAGTATTCCTCAGGAACACCAGAAGCTCGTGGTGGACTCGATCATTTGGGCCTTCAAGCACACAGAGCGCAACGTTGCCGACACGGTACGGTACTTTTCATGCACATACGCTTTTGGACATTATACTTATTGCTATGGTTTCGTGTGAAAATATAGGGTCTCGCCACGCTGTTTGCCCTGCTACTGAACATCCAGGAGAACCCCCAGATTGCTGCTGGGTTCTACCGCTCGTTCTATCTGCTGCTACTGCAGGACATTCTGGCTGTGCTGACTGACCGCCTGCACAAGTTCGGCTTCAAGCTGCACGCTGCTATCTTGCGTCACATGTTCTCTATCGTGGAGAACAACCACGTGACTGTGCCTCTGTGGGAATCGGCACCCAACGCAGCAGCGATGCCCCCTGGACAGACAAATTCGGTATGTTTCTTGAAAACTTTCTGGCCTGTAGTACGTCGTGCTAATGTACTGTTCGTCGATAGGCCTTCCTCAAGGACTACGTGGCCAACCTGATTGGCTCATCGTTCCCGAACTTGTCGCGAGCTCAAGTGGTGGAGTTCGTGGTCGGCTGCTTCGACATGTCGAGAGACCTGCCGACGTTCAAGAAGCATCTGCGCGACTTCCTTGTCAACATCAAGGAGTTCGCTGGTGAAGACAACGCCGAGCTCTTCCTGGAGGAAAACCTGGCGCGGACGCAGCTGCAGGAGAAGCAGGACATGGCTGCCAAGCTGGCAGTGCCTGGTCTCGTGAACCCGAATGAGCGTCCGGACGAGATGGCTGATCTGTAGACTGGCCGCAAGTATGGCGAGACGACTCAAGACCCCCCAACATGCAGAGAGATGCACCGATGGACGCTCCAAGGAGGATAAGCAAGATGTTTGTGTGTTTGCAGCATTTGAACATGGTTTCCCTTCATCTTTGACGAAAAGTGTATGATTGAAGCGATTTGAACTTGGGTCTTTACGTAATTTCCTTCAAATTAGCGTACCGCAATTTCGCTGACGGCCGCCATAAAGTACCGTGACCTCTTCCAAAAAGGCAACCAATAATCATCACGCATGGCGCGCGCTCGTCGGCGCCCCGCTCCGCGTTTCGTGGCGCCCACGCCGAATCCAGCCATGTCGGCCCGCAAGTCGGCGCCTGTGTCGGCTGGCGGCGTGAATGTGCGTCGGTTGATGCTGTCGCGAGAGGCGGCAATGGAGCACAAGCATGAGGACGAGGCTTTCGAGGCGGATGAGCCGAGTAACGAGTGCGGAAACCCTTTTTGTCGGCAACTTCTGGCCAATCGCTACGCCCGATACTGCGAGCTGAAGCCCATGTGTCAACGCTATCGAGCGCTTAAGCTCCAGTGTCTGGCTAATGCACAAGCAGAAGAAGACGAGGAGGACACGAGGCCATTGTCTCTTGTGCTCAAGAGGAGAAAGAAGAAAGAGGAGAAGAAAGAGAATGGAGTATTCGCTATTCCCAGGAAGAAGAAGGGCGAATCTCCAGCCTCTGGGACGAGAATATTGGATTTAAGCGAAGAAAAGAGCTCTACACTGAAGGAAAGACAACTGAAGAAGCAAAAGAAACGAGAACTACAGGAGAAAGACGAGAGAGAGAGGAGACACAAGAAGAAACTGAAAAGAGCGAGAGAAAAGGAAGCCGAGAGCAATGAACTGGAAGCTACGTCTGCTGCTCCGAGAAGATCTCTTAGTGTGGCCTCGTCCGTGTCGTCTATGGACGAGTCTGGGGCGGCAACTGACAGGAAAAAGCGGGTACAGTCACGAGATCCGCGCGTACGGCATCCGCCAGAAGCTACAAGCGACGTGGAGACTGGGAATGACAGTTTAAGGGCTAAAAAGCGTCGATTAAATCGACGTGTAAGTGCGGACGACGTCTTGTCCCGCTCCGCGTCGTCGTCTCGTGGTACTGCGGCGTCGGATTCAAATTGGACAATACCAAGAGCCAAACCTGCTCGACCGAAGACTGCGGCACAGGCGATCAGGAACATGAACGTGGAGTTGGTGCCTCTGGGCGTAGGCAATCCAGCTGGCGTCGCGGGTGGAGGGCGATACGTGCAAAACGGAAACCGATCCGCTACACAGACGCTAAGAGCCTCGGACCCACAAGCAAGAGCCCCCAGTCTGACGAAGTTCGCGTCACCCGCAGCTATAAGTGCGCCACCTAGACCAGTACAGACACAGCCGACGGTGCCAGCACATGCTGCCCCTGCTGTGCCACAAGCGCAGCCGTCTCTGCCACCGCTTCCTCCGCAACCCCCGTCGTTGCCTCCGCCAGTGTCTCGTCCTATAAGAGCCACCACACCAGTGTCGTCCCCTGTGGAGAAGACCTCTGTATCTAGCGCCAACACGACGCGGTCAAATGTATCGACATCAGGGGCGTCTGGAGTAAGGCGGATCTCGGCTGCCACTTATCTTAATAACAGAAAGAGTGATACGGACCGACGGCCGCTAGGGGATCGAATGGACTTCCAACCATCGCGATCGTCGTCACTGGAGCGCTCAACTGGATTCCCATCGGCTCCCGCTGCTCCGCCTGGATACCATCGCAGTGATAGTGCTCCGTTACAGTCGTACAGAGAGCCTCGTCCCGAACCTCGTCGACCGTATCCAGAAGCTCAACGACCATACTACGATACCGACGGCAACCGGACGGAGTATCGAGATCGCAGCGAGCCATCGGTCAGCGATAGATCTTCATGGGAAGCTCGCAACTCGCAGTCTCGGGATCGCTATCCAAGACAGCAAGCGGTGTCTTCATTCGACAGCAACAACTATGACTACTCGGCAGACACGCACTTCAGTCCAGAGCCACCTCCAGCTGAGCAGCCGTACAGAAGAGAACCCCCTCGTGAGCAGCCTCCACCGCCACAACGTGCTCCGAGTCCTCGTCGGAATGAAGTCGAGCGTGTTGCCAGTGACCGGAGGAAAAACGATCTCGACGACTTGGACGATGACGCGCCACGTTTCTCGTACCACGAAGACTTCCTGCCGCGTCTGCTGTCTGTATTTATCCACAAACTCCCACAGGCGCTGGAAGCGGTGTTCAACGTGACCAAGAAGCCGAGGAAGATGAACTGGTACATCAAGTACGTCGAGCGGATCGAGCGATTGTGCAAACCGTTCGATCTTCAGGTTAAAATTAATGGGACGAAGGCCATGGTGACTGTGCGAGGACGCGAGTGGCTTGTGCTACAGGGCAATTCTACCGTAACGTTGCACATGGAGACCATCAAGAGCTTACGAGCCGAAGCGGTGACGTGGCTGCGGTTTTACGAGGAAATGGAGAAGGCTCTCGCTCACTACAGAGGGATCTACGGCAGCCAAGCGAACGAGAGCTACACGTTTCTTCGCGCCTGGAATGACCTCAAAAACCCGGGGAATTACATCTCGCTGCCCAGACAGGCCAATTATTTTTGCGGTGCACGACTTCATCACTGGAATTTCGTGGTTGGGAAGGTGGAAATCGGCAGTGGCAGTCACGAAGAGAAGCGAGAAGCCTTTCGATTGGCGACGGTCAGTGCGCTGGATTTCCTACTGAGTATTGGGCGAGGGGGGCGGCGTCCGACTCGAGATGCGAAACCCAAGCGTGAACGTGTTGTTAGTGCAGAGCGGCAAGATGCGAGAGGAAGGCAAAGGAGCTCAAGCCGCGAATCGACTGTGAGCAACAGAGTTCGCGCGTCTCCAGCCAGTGATCAAGTTAATGGAGCCGCTTCAAAGCCATCGGCGGTGCCACAACCAACCGAGCAACCGTCCGGGGATGGGTCGGCTGCTCCTACTAGACAGCCAGTGTCTTCAATCGAGCCATCGACGTCTCCTGTCCCTGTGGAGCATACCGAGAAGTCTGCTGTAGTTATCATACCAGAGACTGACTCGAACAACAACCACGGGATGGCAGAAGCGAATGAACGAAGCGACCAGGATGAGGAAATGAGCATCAGCGGTACGTGCTTGCTTTGTGATAGTGGTGCCATGGTCTTGATACTGACATCTTTTCTTGCTACTTGTGTAGATGCGAGCGAACAGGGCACGGTGACTCCAGGAGGGTCGCCAAGACCGTTGACAAGTGCATCTAACTCCTCGAGTGTCCTACTCAGTGCGTCCGAGTCTGCTGCTCAACCTGCAGGTTCGGATACTCAAACAGACTCAACGTCGCCTGCTCCGAAAGTGGTTTTGGCTTCCACTTCACTGGCCGCTGAGAATTCATCTGCGACGTCGGTTCCTTCGGGTGGCACTGCGAAGGTTGTGGGAACGACAGCAGACGAGAACTCGACCTCAACTAAGGACACCCCGGCCAAGGCAAAAGAAGCAACACCTCCACGTCGGTGCATGATGTGCGAGATGATTCGCATGCGCAAACCGGATGGTGAGCGATGTCTGCGTTGCCAGCAAAAGGGTGTCCCTACTAATGGGGCTGTGAACGTTTCGCTTGGCCCTTGACTTGACGTTGAAGTTGTTTTGTGGGCACAATTTTACTTGCGAAGATATGTCAATGGAAAAGCGAAGATAGGTAAGTTATTTAAAAAACGGTACTACGTGTACAGACCCTAACACTCAAACGATCAAGTCAAGAGGAAACAGTTTGCTATTTTATGATTGATTTCGATCACTGATAATTTATTTTTTGTTCAGAAATTTATAATTTGGTTGAAAGTAACTTAAACAGATTCGATTCTGGACTCCAGTAGTAGTTTTCAGCATTTCTCTGTTGAAGTTCACATTGTGAACTAAATAACTTCTGGGTAACTCTTGCTTCAATGTCGCTGACGTATGAACTGGCGTGGCGAACGGATGCCGAATTTGATCATATTCTTGCGCTTGGGCAGGTCGACGAGTCGACGTGATACCAGCGTCACGCGAGCGCGCAGCGTATTCTCGTTGAGGTAGCTCTCTCGTGAGGCTGCGGCCTCGAAGATTATGCGCTCCACTTTGAGCGCCAGCGTGAACGTCTTGGCGCACCAGTTGGAGTTCTGCTCCACGTGAGTGAGCACTTCGTGCGGGCGGTGGCTTCGCAACATGCGGTCGATGTTCACCACGTTCTTCCAGCGCTGCGTGCGCAGGTTCTCGCCGACAGCCAGCCAGCTACCGTCGAAATAGCGCGCGTCGCTGTGTGTCGTCGATGCTGTCACGTTCAGCGCGAAACTCATATTTTTGATAGGCAGATGGCGTTGTAGCTGCTCGGATTCGTCTTATTAGGAGGTAGGGAAATTGGGGAATGCCGTCCAGACTGGCTGCTGCTGTTGGAGCAGCGTTCAAGCCGCCGCTGTCAAACGAGCAGTAACTCATTCTCCTTTGCTGAGCTATTCGCGTCGCTCTGTACCAAGATGGCAGCGTTTCTAGCACACCTCGGCGGTTTTCTCTCATTGGCTGCCGTCTTCAACAGCGCTTGGCTCGCAGCATGGTTCCGTGTGCGTGTCTTAGCGAACTGGCTCATGGGGATGGCGTGTTAAAAGCGAGCGCCGCGTGCAACGTGCGCGTTGCTACGAGCAAGATAGTAGTAGATGATATAATACATTCGAAAGAGCTGAGACAACAATTGTGCTTTTACACTTCACTCGAGTGTAAAGCACAATTGGGTGAGTACAGAGGTCGCAAGGAACCTTCCCCTCTTTCTTGCTCAACAGTGTTTCAAATTGGCCCTATGTATCAATTTATAGAGGTGAATGCACGGTCCGTACTTGACTGCAATGGCTCGTCACCAAGTGCACCTGCATCGCATTCTATGGCGCTGATCCTGCATTTCTCGTCCACAGTCTCATATTCTGTAGGCACGCTCGATTGAGCTCCCTCATGCAGCAGCAGCAAAGACCCGAGCAGCCACATTGTGGCTCACAAGTCCCATAGCGGCCTCTCAACGGTGTTTCACCGTAGTGTCAGAGCCTGGTCAAGTAGTATTCAATAAAGCAACTAAAACTTGAAGAAGGAGGGTTTCAGATTTGGATCCCCAAAAAAGGCAGCTAAAAGAGTTTCAGTTGGATTTGCACCACTGCTCGCGCCTTCGCCGACGCCGCGAGCACTCTTCGCAGTATTTTAATGTCGTGCAGTCGAGAGCCCTAAAGGATGTCCCAAGGGTACGCCTAATTACTGTACATGCCTAAGCTACCAGCTAGAATTCTTGCTCGGTGACTCACATAGGTGAGTAAGAGAACACCCCCTCCCCCCACCCTGCAGCCCCACTCACACTACTTTATATGATAGTTTAGGATGGATACTAGCACTTGTCTACAGTGCATGTACAGTGCTTTCCAATTCGTCGAATAAATTGAACACCGCGCAGTTCAGACGCCACCTATTGCAGCACTAAATCTCTGCTTGGTGCTGCGTAGTTGGAGATTTCAGTTTCCGCGCAGGCTAAAGAAACGCATTTGAAAAGTGCGTGTCTAACTTACCTTCGAGCAGGAACATTGACCTGGAACCTGAAAAACAAAAACGCAAAGCAGATAGAAAAAAGCAAAATATATTTAAAATAACTTGCCAATGCAAAAGAACAAGTTCACGCTCGCGTTCGCTCGAGCAGATCTCCCATTTCCCAGATCATGACGGCGCCTTCGGAGCCGACAGTGACAATCTCCTTTCGATCAGGGGAGATCTTGACAGCGTTGATCGCCTCGCTATGACCTCTGCCAATTGCAACGGTCTCTCCATTGTCATAATGCCAGAGTCGGAGCATTCCATCGCGTCCGCCCGTCGCAAACAGTGCCCCGCTGTGTTCAATGTCCATTGCCAACATCTCATGGTCCGCGGCTTCCTCTAGGAATCGAATGGCTTCTCCGTCGTACGCGTCAAAGTACGTGATGCGTCTGTCGGAGCCACAAGTGAGCAATTGGCTCTCGTCCGGATGGTACAGCACTCTACGGAACACAGTGGATGCAAACATGGCCTGAGTGCGCACGAAAGTCTCGAGGTTCCAGACGATACAAGAGCCATCGGAGGACGCGCTCACACACGCGGTGCAGTCCTGTGTCACTTGAATGGCATTCACAGGGCCGCGGTGCTCTTTCAGCGACGCTTCCATTGTCTGTCGGGACGGAGTGATACGCCACACACGCACACGTCCATCTTTACCGCCAGTAAGCAATCTCCACTCAGCAGAGGAGGAGCAAGAGGAATCAGACGGCGTGCACATTGCTATGGCTGTCACGGACTCGTTGTGAGCGTCCTGGATGACGAATTTGAGCTTGCCACTTTCAGGGTAGAAAGCGCGCACTTTGCCGTCGTCCCAGCCACTCACTACGAGGCCACCGTCGCGTGTGAGCTCCACGCAGTTGCACACGAGATTCGGCACCTGTATGCGTAGAATTTCCTGGCAACGTCGAGCGTTCCAGATGCGAATATCAGTCTTAGCACACGTAAGGAACAAGTGCGAGTTGTCTGTGGGACTTCGGGACGCTGAAGTCGGGAACACGACGTCGTTGATGCAGCTGTAGTGGCAGGTAGAGCGCAGTTTCACGCAAAGTCCAGTGCTATTGCCACTTGCACTGGTAGGGCGACTACCGGCATTGTTCGAGCCACTACATGTGGAAGTAGGCTCCTCCAGCTGGAATTGGTACATGTTGGAGTGGTTGGTTCCCGCATAGAAGTCGCCGTGTTTTCCCTCACTTAGCGCTGTGATGCCACCCATCAGTTTCTCCATACAAGCCGTAGCTATAGGCTTAGTCTTCGATCCGTCCGAGGCTGCGTTAGCTGGCCCAAGCTTGAGCACAGCAAGGTTCCCATCACCAGCACCAAGCAACACAAAGCGTCGATTCTCTTCATTATCGTGAACGACAAGCGTCACGATGCCCTGACTGAAACGTTCCTTGGTTGTACGACTGTACCGAGGCTTTAGAGTCCCCACGGGAGGGAAAATACAGTTAGGTTTGGCCAAGTCGCAGTCGAGTAAGATCTCAAGTAAATCTCCTGTCTTGGTCCCGCAGTACGCCACCTTGTCGTCCGGGGACACGCCGATACACGTGACGATACGTTTGAGGTTCCCTAGATTGGCACGTAGCGCGTGGAATTTGCGTTGTTTCAGTTCTACTCGCCACACTGTGATATTGTAATTCCCTCCGGTAACGAGGAGCTCGTCGTTGGCTTCGCGGTTGAACGCAGCGACTGTAAGCGTCGAATCGTCTCCGGACGGGGTGCCGCAAATGGGTTCACCGGTCTCCATGTTCCAGCAGACCAGTGCATTGTCATCCTGGCCTCCCACTGTGAAGAGGAAGCTGTCTCTGGCCGAGAACGTCAAGGCTTGCACCTTGCCCATATGCAACACGAGACGAAACGTCACAAAGCTGTCGTCACGATCACCTTCACCGCCGTTCGCGGACCCAGCAAGCCGTTTGGTGGCTTCTGCGAGGTCCCATACAATGATCGGAGCTTTGTTCCCGCGACTCTTGCTCTGCTGTCCCGAAGCGAGCTTTGACCCATCATTCGAGACAGCCAAACACGTGATCACATCCGTGTGGCCTCGTAGAAAGCACTGCGTGTTGCGTTTAATGTCCTTGACGACAACAGCCAGACCGAGCGAGTAGACGAGGTATTTGCCGTCAGTGGTGTAAATGAGCGTATCCGGGTACGTTCCTATCGTAATTTTTCACATTAGTTTCCACAAGTTTATCAAAAGAAAAAAAAGAAAACATTTCGCTCAAGACACGTACCATTGTACCCGATTACTCTGCGTAGCTTGAGTTCCTTGGTGTCTGCCATGTGCGAGGAAAGCGACGTGCTCTTGAGGGTGCGTTGAAGGTTGTGGGCGCTCGGTGAAGAGGCGATCAAAGCAGCAGGAGTTTCGCGGCGAGGGGACGCAAAAAGACAGCGAGATAACCTTACAATTCTCTATTCAGAGGTCTATTAGTCGCCTTCTTGAACTTCTTTCGGAGACTGCGCTTACGACTGAAGGCGTTCTGTAGTGTGGACGCCCCAGCCTCGCGGATCTTCTCTAATACGAGGCTGTTCTCGGACGACTCGATGCTAGTTACGGTCCCTGCTGTGCCTGCACGTCCCGTGCGTCCAATGCGGTGCAAGTAGCTCACCACGTCGCTGGCAAACTCGAATTGCACCACGTGACCCACTTTGGTTGTGTCCAGGCCTCGTGCTGCGATGTCAGTACAGATGACGACGAGGTCTTTGTCGGTCTCATCGTCGCTGTCGAGTCGCTTTAGAAGCTTCTGCCGTTCTGAACGGGCCACTTCTTTGTGGAACAGAGCACAGTTGGCCATTTCCTTGTCATTCTCCAAGAAATCCAAGAGCTCGTCGGCACTGGCGATCGAGTTAGTGAACACCAGCGTCTTTTTACCACCTTCTTCAGATGCTAAAATCTGGTACAAGAGGTCGCAGCGAGCATGTCGCTCGTCCATGAAGTCACCGCCGCGTGTCATAAATTCTTGCAGGTTATGCGTGCGCAATGTCAATTTCGGAAGCGTCCGATGGAAACCCTATTTTAACGTCGTGTTAGCTGGTTTCCCTCCGTAAAGGGAACACAGTGAAGACGTACCTCAGTGATAGCAAAGACGGCGGACGGGAACTTGTAGTCGATATAATGGCGTACTGATCGCTTGCCGTAGTCCGGGATGGTCGCAGCACTGAAAATGGTCTGGGTTTGGTCCTTGGAATAGTCTTTGTCATCAAATTCTCGGTCCTTTTGCTCCTCGTTGACACTGTTGAGCTCTGCACGCAGCAGTGGCTGGTTGCGAATTGTAGCGAGGATCTGTTTGGTCTCCTTCTCAAAGCCACCGCTCAGCAACATGTCGGCCTCGTCCACTACGACTGTCTGGGTGAAGGCAAAGTCTCTGGGTTTAGTGGCACGCAGTAGAGCGGTGGGTGTGGCGAGGACGAGTGGACACGCGCGGCTGCCGTGACCCAGAGTTTGTCTTGAGGAGGACAAGCTCACGGCAAGCCGCGCAAGCTCCGGGTCCACCTGATGCAGTACAGCGGCCAGCTGTCGCACAAGTTCCTGTGACGTGGTGAGCACCAAAGCGGCTGGAAGGCGCATTTCGCTCGGTGGCAGCAGGTTCCGACGTAGCTGCTCCACTACAGGCAGCAAGAAGGACAGCGTCTTGCCACCTCCTGTCTCGGCGGCCACCACTACGTCCTCGCCCGATAGAATGCGTGGAATGGCTTTGTATTGGGCAGAAGTGGGAGTGGAAAGTCCCAAAATGGCCAATCGGTCGGACAGCGCACTGCTGAGCCCCACAGACTGGAAACAGCGAGCAGTAGGGACGATAAGAGGCTTTGACTGCTGCTGCGAGAGGCTGATGCCTGAGCGAGTCGCATAGGAGGCGGATGCCTCATGGAGCGGACGTCGCAGCGCCAGCATCTCGTGAAGTGTGTGACCGATTGGGTGGTGCACTTTAGTTGCGCTGCGATTGGCGAATATAAATTGTATCTTTTCCGTTTTCCACCAATGGAAGTAACTGTTTTGGAATTTGTCAAGCTGTCTCGCTAACGTGTCTTAACTTACATGAGCAATTTATTATAACAAGTATAGTCTTTTTAAATCTTATAAACCGACGAAAACGATGTCGATGAGCGGGTTGTCGACTCACACAAAGCACTGCATTAGAAACAAGGAGCTTGCTGCACCAATCGAGCTGCAAATCGTGGTGTTAGCTGATGTGGATGGTGCCGCTGCTGGCTCCTCGTCATGGACGTCGCAATCTTTCTTCCAGCATGGGAAGTTCCGGGAAACACGTGCGCATCTTCGCAATGTAGATCACGCATGGTGCTCTGCGGTCATTATACCCCTTTCATTTACCTGTCGCCTTCTGTGAGATTGAATATCGCATTTGGATTTCAGTCGGGTACTGCAGATGGAGACTGGTGCGCCCGAGTAACACTTTTTGCGAGCACGGAAGCGCGTGGCAGCAACGGAGGTTATCGAAAGAGAGGAAGAAATGAAGGAATACCTGGCGCGTGCACGTGCGTTGAAGCATCGCCGCAAAGACACGAACGATCGAAGCGGATTTGGTCCCAGAGTCGGGTCCTCGTGTTTTTGCTCTATCCCAGTGCTTTTCTTCAGCAGTCCCGTGCATTTCGTAAGGCAGCAACAATTTAAAAAAAATATGCAATAGCATGAGTACCATGTGACTAGTTTACAAAATGCAGTACAGCGCGAAGGATGGCAAGGGCAGTATTTCTCCGTTTATGCGGCAGCGCCACTAGCACGTACAAGCCGCTGACTATAATACCCGGCAGATGTCGAGCTTGGCATAGCTGTTGAAGTTACCATTTCGTCTTACAGGCTAAGAGTACTTCAAGACGAAAACTACTGCGCAGACATTGCAAGGCACCCATACAGCTCTACGGCAAATTCTAAAATGTATCACTAATAAAAAGACATCCTAGCGCGACAGTGTACAGATAAATATTTTGGGTATAATGTGCATTGATTTGGTCGGGTTAGAGCTAATAAAAAAACAGCTAAGGCTAGCTGCTTTTTTAAATCGATTCGCAAAATAGATAACGTTATAACTCGATGCCTAAAGTCTGCCGGGTTGCACCTGTAAGTTAACTCGTGCGCATTTTACAGTGGCACTCTGCATTTCACCGATAAATAGGGTCGTCATTTTGGGATTAGCTGATACAAGTACAGATATAAAAAGGCCACTAGAACATGTTGTACCGGCAGTGGAAAACAACTTTTAACTGAAGATATAGTGAGGTCTATTTCATACTGTGCGGTGTTATCAGGGCGACGTCAGCAGTAAAGTTGGCTGGGAATTCCATCACTTTCCCAGCACTTTAGCAGTAGGCTGCACGGTACCGAACAAGTTTTCTTTTAAGGCGATTTTCAAATCCTCAAAAGCCGGGCCCGCCGGCGGCGGTCGCTGCCTCCCCGAAACAGTCGGCCTTATGTCGCACTACAGCTTTCAGTAGCTTTGGGGATTTGCTTCGCGTGCTTTCGTTGGCAATCCTTGCAGGATACGTAATCCTACAAAACTGTACATGTATAATCGGCCGGTGTCGATGCAGCAGTTTTGATGTAGCTATAATACTGTAGCCTGTTCACTCGACAGCAAAGTTCATTATTATAGCTAGTCGTATTGTATGTTCTTGTTCGGTTTTAAAGCCTTGGGTATCAATAAAAATAAAACATATAATTCGCAGCTAAATTAGAGGCCAACCAGACGACAGCGTATTTCTATGTGGTCAAATAAACCTAAGCCCGTTAAATGGGCGCTAGCCAATCGCAGCGCCCGGTCGCACCCAATGGGATCGCTCCGGCGCAGAGCCACGAAACGGTGGCGTCTCGTCTGTGCTCACGCTTCCAGCGAACGATTCACTTATACTCAGTATGGTGCGTGTCCGCCGCGCGAAATATGAGTTGGCCGCATGTCTAGCCTGGTGATAGCGACGTCCAAAAAGACCCTTTTGGAATGATCGCATATTTTTTTTGCTCTTCTCGACCGAGTCACTTTCCAATTTAAACCTTTCCACGCAAGGCAACCCCCACAAACAACCATCACGACTTCCACCAACATGCTTAACAGCCCGGGCCTCCCGGGATTCCAGCGCTTCCAGCTGAACAATAGTTCACCTGTCTTGGTGGCCGGGAGCGCCAGCAATGCCGCGGTGCTACCTACCCAGGTTTCCACCGCCTGCGCCAACCCGAATGCCGGTAGCGAAGAAGGCGACGAGGAACTGCGACGTCTGCGATCCAACTACGTAGTTCTAGTTGAGCGTATGCTGCGAAACCACCAGCCTCATGACGTGCTGAACCATGTCCCTGAAAATACGGACTGGCGCTCCAAGACTTTCAAACTCGCGCTCAAGATCGAGCGTCTCATGTTCAAGGCTGCCAAATCTCGCGCCGACTACATGAATGAGCACACGCTCAGCCGCCGCGTCAAGATTCTGTGTCGTCACCTGGTCCGCATTCGTATGCGCAAGAATACGATGGCGGAGGGTGTCACCAAGCGCTGTTAGCCCCTCGTCCCATTTTTCTGGTGTGAAACGTTGTCGACGACCGTTTTCGGGATTGCCTGCCTCGGTGTCGCGAGAATCACCAGGAAACCTCTAAATAGTTTTTATGAATATTGCAATTTTTTAAATTATTGGGTTTTGCAATAATTGTTTAATGGGACCCGACCCGAAATCAGTTCAGTTTAAATAAGCTCAATTGCTGACAAATAAGTTAAAATAATAGTAATACTAATAAAAATAGGCACCTGAGCAGAAAATATGCTGAATCGTATAATCTCCCTAGCTAGCTACCATGCGATATGCTGTGCGTATTCTGACAAACCCAGTTTCTCCAATTTATTGGGATTAAATTGCTAAAGCTGTACTGTGAAAAGACGGATCTCTACATTATATTAGCCTCTCTAAAAAATCGAGCTTGTAGTGCGTTCATGCGTTTAAAATCTATAAATATAATTCCAGCAATAGCATTTTCTTTTCTAGACCTGTGAAATTGATCAAGGATATTGAAAAAATATAAAAATCTTAAAAGCAAAGGCACTTATTCAATTTTGTTTACTGAGTTGGTGAATCCCTGGGTACTACCCAGGCACCACCTTACACAATTAAGTAAAACACTTCCAGTATGCGTTGCTGTAATGTCTAAATCGAATCCATACACTTTTCGCCAGCTACCATGACTGGTTTCGTTTTTGCCCTCAACGATGAAATCGGTTCCACCTGGACTAAAGATCCAAAGGCCGCATATCGATTCTAGATCTGGGAGACACACTCGCTTTGGTTTTCGTGGTCTTTTGCAGCCGAGGTAGATACGCGCTTTTCAAGGCCATGCGTGTCTTTGGCATACAATCGAACTGGATTCTCGAACAACACGCCGCCAAGCGAAGCGGCTAAATGTTTGGTCAATAACAATGCTGGGTCGAGTCTGAGTCAGTCCGTAGCAGAGGGTGTGATGGCTTGAGGCACACGTGACCCTGCATAATTGGCAGCAGCAAAATGACGGCAGTATATAAAGCAACAGTCCAATTGTTTTTAGTGCTCTACCCGTGTAGTAAACTAATTAGTGGAGGCTATTTCGGTAGAAAAAAACTGATCTACAAATTTATTGCTGTCATATACTCTCTCCGCGGTCCCTGATCCCCCATTCGTCTTAATGGCGGGAAGTTATTCTTTAGACCTCCAAGAAAATTACCTGGACGCGCAACACTGCGTCAGCGTATAACTCAGGTCTCGCGTCGGCTCAGCGCCCTGCGTGATTGCGAGAGTATTGACATCGTCAGCAGCATTGAAGGCGGCAACGAATAATTCCCCGACTGTTTCTAGACAACAAAGTAGCTGATTGATGCAAAGAATACCTCTGAAACCTAAGTACAATAAGCATCCACCCCACGAATATTTTTGCGTTGTCATTTGCTTGCATCGCGAGCTAGGTGAAGCGCTCGCTCGCTGTCACAGTACAAACTTAAGTTTCATGGCGTACACTTGACTGATAGAGCCCCCATTCGTGTCACTGCTCATGCATCACCACCGCTATTGGCACGCAAGTCGGCCTCATGCAACAGCGCCTACCAGTTTGTTTATAGCCAAAATGCTGCTTCGCAATGAATTAAAATTGGTCACGTCGAGAAGGTCTACACTGCGACTGCAGCGATTGTATTAGATACGAGGCGACAATATTACATACCGGTAGATGTACATAGCATGACAGCTGTGATAGTTTGGACCATTTTTCCGAGGTTCACGTCGCTAATAACCCATAGCCCTAATTGAATCTCACAAAAACGAGGTTTGGTTTGGATCTCAGGCCCCTTTAAAATTTCTAGCTGCCTGAGCTCCAAATTAAACAAATTAAACTACGATTCAGACTGTAAACTGACTTTCAATCAAACGCTTTGCATACGTTTAATGGACGCCACCCAAAACTGCCATAAGGGCCGATATGTCAAGGCATTCGATTGATGATATACCTGGCATACCCCGTCGCCCGTCTGGTGATACGTAAATCCTGTCTCAATAAAGCTGCGGAGTAATACCATCTGTGCACCCTAACTTCGGGCAACTACACAAATTATTAATCTTTGACATACATCAGAAATCATCGACATTTTGTACCTGTGCATACTTTATATTTAGAGCTAAATTTAGACATTGTATATGACACCCCGTTATACCAGAGCCCATCATGGCAAAATATCACGCAAACTTCAATTGTCAAAGAGCCGGAAATTTGGCTAGAATTCCTAAATCGTAGTTTGAATGAGCCAATCACAGACCTTATGCGGTAAATATTTGAAGCGAGACAGTGACATGCATTCCACCTGTATTTGAGTATCTGCATGCAAGGTGTAATGGAAATGCGTTGCATATATGAGAATCATCTTGGGATCACTCGGTGTTTGGTCTTCGCAAAGAAGGAGGCGATGTTGGCTGTCGATTTCAATTTTTTGCTCCGTTCGTCGCTTTGTTTCGTCTGTCTTATCCGCGTGTCAAACCCTCTTCAAGTTAAAATGCCGGCCCGCCAACGTTGAGGAAGCTATACAAACAGACACGAAATGCCAACATTTGGACAGGACTCATCAAATCACACAGTCGTCGTTATTGTTACCTACACCTAGCAAACGACCCCTTCTAATTCAAAGTCTCATTTCAGAATTAGCGTCGTTGGACAGAAGCCGAATGTCTTCTCCTCTTTGGTCCTCATTGCAACGGCTCACGTGCACCTCGTACGCTGTTGAGAAGGAGGAGCGGTGGCCCCCGCTATTGGACGGACTAGATGAAAACGAGGTAGGTGATGAGGTGGCCGGGCGTGTGTTACCAGCGCCAAAGTAACGAGCTGCTACAGCGAAGACGACTGGGTGCTTAACATTCAGAACCCGTTCCTGGACGAATAGCCTGCAGCAGTGGAGCAAGTTCTATTGCCACGAGTGCTGTATTCGACGAACCAAACCACCGAGAAGACTAAAGAAAGTGAAGCAGCAGCTACGAATGCAGAGACCGCGGGCATATTGGTGCCTGCCACGTGTACGTTCATTATGGAAGTATCAGACGTCGAGAAACATACCGAAAACATAGTCCCCAGTCTATTGACTTGACTGCAATACCTATTGTGATCGAGATAGATTCGGCCAGCTCGTCAGATGACACTGATGATGACGTACCTTGCGTTGATCGCCGTCGCCTACGGACGTATCGTAAGTGCGGCCAGAGGAGCAATGCTATCGTGGTCGATGCTGACGTGGAGATGGAAGAAGGTGAAACAATGCCTTCACCTACAGCAGACAGCTCACTATCACTACCGTCTCCAAAGGTAGCGCTACCGAATCCCCCGGAATACCACCCGCTCGCTAAGGCGCGGAATATCGCGGCGGCTGATGTAATGTACGACTCCAGCATTCGCTGGGAAGTGTATGCAATTTTGGACCGAGCCAATTATGACAAGCAGAAATAGGCATATTTTGTGCAATGGTGCGATGAAGAGAATCTGTTTTGCGCGACGCGGGTATGGGCATCGACACTGTTCCAAGATGGGTTTGCTACGGAGGTGATGCGCGTTGACAAGTGGAAAGACAATTTTAGCAACCTAATGTATGTTGAGTTCAACAAGAAGTTCCCATGTTGCTGACTGGAGAAGTCACCATGTTCTTTACAAACCATTTGCACGCCAGTTTGGCGCGTCGCTCACGCAGGAAGTCCAAGAACAGCTTGATGTCTCCAGTAGACACTCCTTCTTTGAGTCCTTTGGCTTCTTGTATAGCTTCAAACTCCCTGATGAGCGAGCGCGGGATGAAATCGAGGACACCAGCAACGTGGCAGGTAATACGAATTGCGGCTCACCGGCAAAACACGCCCACTGTTTAGAAATAAGAAAAAAATAAAATGAAAAAAATTATTATTCATTTCTTATAATGGCAACTACCAGACCAGCAAAGTATTGACCGATTGAAGCCTTTGGCGAAAAAAACCATGATCGCCACATGTACTCATCCAAGTAGGAGTCGAGCTTGTCCTTGGTCATGCCTCGCATGCTTTTAATGTGGCGCTTGATACGGGTCTCCCACAGCCCCTCAACAGTATTAGAATGTGTTCCCGTTACCGGGTCTACAAAGTTGAGGCTGTCGTTGACCCAGCTATGCGTGTAGTTCATAGACAGCAGAAAACGGTTGTTCTCGAGAGTATGTTGCTTGTTGCCACGTTCACAAACGTATTAATACGTAGCGAACATGTCGGCCAGAAGCGTAAATACAATAGAGGCCGCCACTACCAGGAATACTGGCTTTTTGGCGGTGTGGGGCGCGGGACTGGCCGACGGTTTGGACGGATCGTGTACGACAAACGAACAAAGCAGACATAATCAAGAAGTTTATCAAGCCACGGTAAGTTTATTTACATTTTTGGTAATCGGTGCCTCATTTAAATTTATTTTTCCTATTCTTTTATTTTGTAGAACTAAGATTATGTACATTTGCTGAATGTACGAATGTCGCCTTAAATTTTTCATTTCTTTTTTTCCTATTTCTAAACAGTGGGCGTGTTTTGCCGGTGAGCCCGAATTGCTTAAAAAAACATTTTCCGTCCTCCGATGCAGTGTAGGTCGATGGAGGGCCTCAGGAGCTATCCGCTTCAACCTGGTGTTTACGTGGTCGGGGTGACCGATGATCGAAGACTCGAGCACTGTTTCGTACTGCGAGTGTACGAAACCATTCGGGAGCGCCAGATCTTCGACCAGTGGTACGTAGAAAGGGGGGGGTCATGAATTTTACAGAAGCCTCTGGTAAACTTAAAGGGTTAACCCTTTAGCTACCGAGCCTTTACACGGGTCCAATAAGACCTCTACCAGAAGTCAGTACAAATCGTCATATGGTTCGCTCATAATTTGCAAACATTTGTTGGAAAATTATGCGGTAGAGGTCCATATGGACCCCTACCATATTACGTCAACTTTTGCAGATCATTTGACTCTATTATACCCAATTGCGGCTTAGAACTTTTATGGTATAGGTCTATCCGGACTTCTACGAAGGGCAAATCCGTCCAGTAGCTAAAGGGTTAAAGTGGATTCGGCGGTGCAACTTTATTCGACGCTTCGCACGTGTGGGCAAGGTATCGCGGAAGAGAATGGCGAAACGAAAAAAGAATATCTCAGCGGACAGACATAGTGTATTTTTCTGTAAGCCGGTAATTAAACACGTAACGATTGTTGGCACAAAGAATTACATGTACGGTACTCAACTGTAATCGCGGTACTATAGTATGTACCGTGACTTTATGATAGTACCGTGCGTAGAATAATAGCATTAGCATTCTAAAGACATTACTGTGACAGACAGAGTAGTACATAAGGCGATTACACCCATTCATTTAGTATTGCCTTAACTATAGAAGATGAACTAAGATGCTTGTCATAGTAGATTTTAATGCACCATGGACTCTAGCTTTTGGGTCTATTGCTGACGACATCGAGACGAGAAAGTCAAAGAGTATTTTTGGTCATGACAGGAACTAGAAGGCAAGGAACGTGGAGTACAAGATGAGTGCTTTCTGAGAAGTCGTATGGGCAAGCAACTGCGCGGCAGGTTTTGGAGCTACACTGATGCTGGACTTAATGAGGAAGAAGAAGATGAACCTCGCGACGAGGTCGGGCTACTTGGGATGTGCGTTCACGCTACCGAAGATGAGATATATGCGGCACCAGATTCGGTGCTACTGAATACGCCATCGATGGGGACCTTCAGTGCTTGGAGGTCGCGCGAGATTAATGTAGCAAAATGAGACGCCGTAATCTGCGTAACTCCCGACAAGCTGACGTCGACAGAGTAGTTCTTGAGCGTTTCAAGGAAAAAAATCAAGCGCAGGCAGCCTTATCGCTGTCAGGATCAGAAGGCACTAGAGGCAGCTTAATCCCAGCTGTAGGCAATGCTCAAATGGAGTGGGTAACAAGCAAAATATCGACGAGATCACCTGAAATTATCTCTACTCGTGGAATAGTGCATGTCCGACCGTGGGAGCTCGACCTTTCCTCTTGCGACTTCTGTTGGCAGACCGCTTCTTGACCTGCTTTTCACCAGGAATTGCTTTTCCTGTTTGACGCAGGGCGATGAGTACATGGACACACATTCGGTATTTGTACCAATATCGATATGGGCAGAACGTTTCCTCCATGTCCACCCTGCATCCCCCAACCGGGTGCTCAGCTGTCCTCATGCGATGCTTGTTACCCAATATTTTTATCTCCGTACTTGTGTCTGGTAGAGGAGATCGAGGCGGTGCCCCCTCTAGTAGAAATATGCAATGTGGGTTTCCCTTGAACCATCAAGTAGAAAATCCAACCCGTGTTTGTGCGGCTGAAAGAAGCTTAACCGGCCATATTTTTGTAGCGATCTTGCATTTCTCGGTTTGGCTTCGATTCCGTAGCGATTAAGGACGTGCCCCTTGACCGGTGACCACACACTAAGGTCAGCTGCTCAACGAGCGCAACCAACTTATGAAGTGTCCTCAGAGAGTAGCCACTCTTGATCGCGATATTGAACTGCTCTACGGGGTCGTTTGTTGTCGCAAATCCTGTCGGTGTATAATAGCACCCCCAATTGCAGAATGGAGAATCGATCCATTGTTTCTTAAAGTATGCCGTAAAGCTACCGAGTACTGGATACGCTTTCAATGCTGTTATAGAAGCTTCTTTCAATGTGTCGAACTCTGCCGCATCACGCGAATAGTGCATCATGTATAGGTGCTTGAGCATCAGCGATACTACTTCAATCGGAAAACTTGAGACACCGTCCCCCATGGTCTTGACGTGAAAACAGCACATCAATATGTCAAAGCATCGTTGCTTCGCTTGGAAGACGTAATATCCATGACTGCATTGTCCAGAGCCTTATCTGCGTCGGCCATGCAGTAACGAATTTCGGGGTAGTCACCAGCGATCATCTTAAAAACGTCGAACAGAGTCTGAAGCGCTGTGTTTATGAGACCCCCAGTCTGCTGAGATGTCATAAGCGTTGCCACCGCGTTGAAGGAGCGAGTCTGGTCCAAAACACCAATAACAAGTACAGGATAGCCTGCCTGGTCGATCTTATAGGTCGTGTCAAAATGAAACACATGCGTTGCCGCGTTCCGAAGCATTATGGTCATGTACGGTGTAGACATTTCAACTATGGTCGGGTGATCATCCACGCCCTCTCTAATAGCAGGTGCTCCATCCTCGTTGACATAGCCAAACGTGAGCGCATCACCATCTTGCATGTCTGACGTAAGCTGGGTTTTCTTCATGAGCTTCTCCATATCTTCTACGAAATTGGTTTCGTTTAGAGATGCTTGTTTATAGTGTCCGACAAACGTCTGTACTTGGCGCAGTACGGGGACCCTCCCACTGTGTAAACATAATGGTCCAGCACGTTGCTGTAAATACGATTTGGCTTCATTCTGCTCTCGCCAACGTTCCGTCCATCGGCCCTACCGACGACACCCAGCAGCAGGTGAACCATGTACCGTCCGCCTTTTTCTTCAGCGTTAACCTCGCCGTGTCAACGCAGCCGGAAGAACCGTTTCAGCGGGATCTTAATGACAGCGCATCGGTAACCGATTCGATTGGCTCGAATTTTGGCCCGAATGCGTTCTCCACGAGCTGCAGCTACAGCGCCAACAGACGCAAAAATGACGGCATGGTGCAGGGTCTCCGAGCGCGCAGCGTAGAACGGATTGAGCAAACACTGAGCAACCACGCACCGCATGGCGTGCTCACACAGGTTCCCGAGAGCTTCGACTGGCACTCCAAGACGTCTCTCTCTGTCCCAATTTTACACAAGGCGATGCTGAGGGTAGTACGGCTCGAGAGGACAACCGCAGCAAGCGCCGGCTAAGCCCGCGAAAAGAAGGAGGTCGCCGCAATCGGATCCAGAGACGCAAGCGCACGAATATGATTTCAGAGTATGTACTTCGCGGCTTTGTCGGTGATCTAGATGCTACGAGCCGTTATCGATGGGATGAATCTTCCCGTTCCAGCGCCGACTTTGGACAAAAAGGTAGGAGCACACTACACGGATACGTTGCGCTCTTCCGGAGCGACTGAAAGCGTGAGGTATTTATAGGAAAGTACTGGAATGCAAACGCAGAGGACTGGAATAAGCACGCAGCCCTGCCTTTCTCAATTACTGACGCGTCCGCGACAGAATGAAAATAAGCAGCGGTCTACGAACCCCAACGACTGCTTCATCCGCTCAGGGCCTTTAGCCACCCACACAAGATTATTGGCAGGTTGGCGCCGAAGATAATCACGGAACGGACAAAGAGTTAGCGAAATACATACATTTGATGCTGCGGGCTCGGTTCCACAGCACTGAAAAAGATCCTAAGCGAAAAAGCATGGAAAGGATGTGTGCGATCGTTAAAGACTGTGCCCACAAAACAAGCAGCAATTAACAGCCACCAAAACTGGGACTGGCTGCAAACCCACGGATATGGGACTGATCCTCTCAATGTTCTCAAGCTCTGTGCATCCTCCGAGCACCAAGATTGGGCAGCCATCTTTTGTGTGCTCAAATTTACGGAGAAAAGATTGCTGAATTGATTGGGGATGATTACAGTCCGAACGACTCAGTGATGTGTAAATCGGAGCGTCATCGGAAGCCTTTGCGAGTAAGGCCTCGGTTCTATGATATCTGCTTTGCCAAAGCCAGCAAGAGGACCATCCAGTGGAAAAATATCGGTAGATTTGTGGTAGCGGCGGTTCCAGAAGGCGAGGTCGCTGCCATCAACCGGTACTGAGGGCTACACTCAATCTAAACGGGCGACTGGAAGCAGCAGGGATGCGTACATGCACATCATTCAGTCTAACCTAAAGTCTACCACACTTCATATGAAGCTGATGTTAGCCCAGCCTCCAATCGGACTGACATCAGGATCATCACGCAAAATGTGCGGGACGTTCGGGAATGCGACAGGTAATAATGGCTAACAGCGTGGCGCAACATTTCAAAGTCGCAACGACCGGCGCTCATACTTGTGCAGGCAACATATGTACAGTCGGACGAGGAGCGTCAAAAGCTGACAAAACAATTGAACTGGATGTGGGGAAAACCGAAAGCTGACCCGCCTCTTTCTTATTGGAGTGTCAGCTCACGTAGAGCAGGTGGTGTCGGTGTTCTTGTATTCCATGAATACAGCCCTATTGTGGGGCTTTAGAGCCAACCCCTTTGATCAGTGCGAGGGTTAGGTGTGAAATTGGATGGTATGCTCAATGTGTACGCTCCGTCCGGAAAGACTCAGCCTCGAGAACATTTTTTTGCAGATATGAGATGTTGGCGACTAGAACAGGTCGAGAATCCTATAGTAGCCGGAGATTTTAATTGTGTGAAAGACTTGGTATTGGATAGACTGGGAGAGAGCAGGCCGGAACATGTCTCCGACAAGTAGCCGCCGTGGCCAGGAAAGAAAGCTACAGAGCTGAGACGCGAACTCGGGGACTTAAACCCCGCCTTAGCATCGACCGCTTCGCCGCAATGACAGGAGAAGTGGCACCAACAGCTGCGGAACCTCTACCGCCCAAAGTACCATGACTCAAGAAAAATGAGATGGTGCTTACACAAAGACTGAGACTTTTTCAGGCAGCTAATAACTAAGAATGTAAATAGACTACCTTGCTCTCTCTCTCTCTCGAGAACGATTTGAAGCTAATTACTTTTCTGGCACGCATCAAAATGACGATTGTTTTTTTTTCAAGGACCGTCTATTGTCTATAGACTATCGATGAAAAACTAGTTTTGTGGATAAAATGCATCCATGACGCACCCTCTCCTCCTAAATCATATTTATATCATTCAGCATTGCCCAACACGACTCCAAAATCAGCATATATTGACAAAACTATAATACACTTGCCTTAGCTAGTCCAGAAAAAAAACTCTTCATGATTAAGTTTATCTTTTTGATTCAAAATATTGAGGTTAATTTTAAGTGTCTGGTGATTGGTCAGCTCGAGCTGGTGGGTCATGGAGATAAATTTCGCTCTCGTATCGCCCTTATAAATATAGACTTACTGCTATTAATAAAGCACAATACTGTACAAGTCGGTGACATTTACGATAAATGCCCCCGAATTTATCGTAAATGTCGTCGACTTGTACAGTATTGGTAAATTTTACGCTTACTTGGCACCATCAGATTGCAGCGACAGACTCTTTCTCGTATCAATAGCTATTGCTGCTTGGGAGCAAGCCAGCGGTAGCCGCGGAAGCTAAGCTTAACTAGTTTTTTTTACCATCATTTCGGCGGACTGGCGACCAGGCGCGGAGACACGCGCAATGGAATCTTCCAGACAAACCCTCCGAGTTGCGGTTTTTTGCTGCGGACGAGAGTTTGTGCGGCTCTCAAAGCTTGAATCTGGGGGTGTGAAACTTGCCAGCGAAATGTCAACCCTGCGTTTGCCCGCAATCATCAATTTTACTGCAATTTTTTCATTAGCTGGCAATTAGCTACGCGATTAGTGACTTAAATTGGCATTGAATTCTACACTTGTCTGTCTTTAGACCACTGCACGAGCATACAGCGATAGCGATGGCATTATCCCTGGTTTCAAGATTTATCACGCTATCAATAACAGTAAGTTTGCCGCTATTACAGTATTGAATTATTATTTAGCGAATGCGTGCTGCCTTATTATTACAGTTTCATTGTTTGAGAAAGCACCGTATCGGGTAGCATTTATTACAAATTTGCTACTATTAATAATAGCCCACCACTTTGACGTCCACAGCACAACGGACTGCACACTGTTCGAGCAGCATCGGTCGCGATATGCATTTGCAACACGAAATTTCCAGAAGCCAGCATGCATCTGCTTGACACGCCATCTGCGTGAGCGGAGCACCCCCGCAGTAGTGATGTGGGCTGCATGTTGCGGCAGCTTTCGTAAGTACTGTGCAATACTAGCTCTTCTATGAAGAAATACATGTCAATTCAAAAGCTGCTTCAATTTACTGCAAAAATGCGAGAATCACTAACCATGCGTAAAAGTTATCCGTAATGCAAAAATTGCATTTGAGCCCATCCCTGGCTAGGGTTCAGTCTCCCCTCCCCGGCCAATCACGATAGCGATGCTGCATGGAAACGAAGAGGCGACTTGACGTGTTTATGGATCCTCGCGATTTTCTTGATATTTGTATGGCGACAGCAGCACACCTGCAGTAAAAAAGTATTTCAAGCGTTGCAGTCAGCCCTGAAATTAGGACGGCTGCCACGGGCGACACCAGTCGCTTCATTCTCGACTTTACACACTTCGTAGGGGTTGCACCCCGTCCTCGACTTGGCAAAAAAAATAGCGATTGGGGCTTGGCCTTATGGACCTCATTTCATTTCCTCCCGGCTCGAAGGAAACACCGAAAAAAACTCGCTTGGAGATCGAATCAACAGCCTTCGCTCGCCTGTGCCACAGGCGGCCCACGCGTTGTAGTCGTCCCAAGAGAGAGAAAGGTATCCCCGCCGTGCTTTTAAGCACACAACGCCCGACGTTGTACGCGCCAATTTCAGTTTTCGGTGATCGCCACTTTGCTTAGTTTTCCTCTTCGAAACCCGGCAAATGCCCAGCCTCCCCATGAACGGATCTCGATATCCTGCAGCAACGCGAGACTTTGACGGACCAGGTGTGCCCAGTCGAGCGTGCAACAATGCAGCCCGAGTGGCAACTCCAGCAGCGGCGTCAACAGGTTTCCCGAGCAGCCTCTCGCTCATGCAACCCAACACAACGAACGGCGGTTGTGGCGTCCATATCGCACCCAACGTCTCCGCTCAAGCCGCAATTGGAAATTGGCGACAGGAAGGAGACGAGATGAAGCGACTCCGGTCGCGACACGTAATTCTAATCGAGAGAATGTTGCGCAACCACCAGCCACACGACGTGCTGACTCAGGTACCCGAGAACTACGACTGGCACTCCAAGACCTTCACACTTGCGATCAAAATCGAGCGGCTTATGTTCACCACGGCTACGTCCCGCGACAATTATCTGGATGAGAGTACACTTCGCCAGCGAATTCAGCTCCTGTCGCGGCATTTGGTGCGGCTTCGGAAGCGCAAGAATGCCATGGCTGTGTCAAGCGGTACCCGTGTGTAGAGTGACGGTACATGTGGCCAACAGGTTTAGACACGCGACCACCCCGATGATAACGTCGGTCCTCAGTCGTGATTGGACTCTAATAAGTGTGACTGAAAGCATTCGAGGACGCGACAGAGAAGGTAGCTTAGACCTGCACGTATTTAAGTAAGGAAGTGCTAGTAGTGTACGATGTGTTGCTGTCTTTGCCTGCCAACATGTTCCCGTGTCTGTCAAATATGAAGTGTCTGTCTTTTTCACTTCAGTTGCTGACTCATCGCCATTTCCAGTCGTCCTTCTCCTGGCGGAATCGTGGTGTGTGCTGTCTACCCGCTACATACACGAATGCGTTGGACATTGTCCAACGCAAACGTGTACTCCAATGGACAAGTCGCTGGTCAACTCTGGGAATAACTCGGTTGACTGTCAACTTGACATTGTCGTGGGGCAGTCTCGGTTTACTTCCGTTCCACCGTCCAGGTTACTGTTTCCAGGATCAGGGTGGATCTTCATGTGCTGGGTGCGCGCCAGTGATACTTTGATCTTCACAGGAATGCGAGTTTAAGAATCGGGACCATTTTCTATCATACTTGACATCCACAGATTCTGTATCGTAGGTGGACCAAAGTTCTAACAAATTGGATGCAATGTACATGTACAGTAGGTTGGTCTTGGTAAAAATAGCTGCGTGTATTTCGGTCAGTGGCGATAGGATGGCGAGGCTATTATCGTTAACTTGTTGATCTGATGCTTCCCAAAGGTAGCAGTCGTTGTTGAAATATCGAAGTCTGCTTGTTGCAAATATGATCCACGAGCCCGCAAATGCGTTCAACAAGGTGAGTGTCAAGTTGCTGCGGTGGTATCAGCGATGAATGGCAAATTGACTGTAATTTATTCGCAGGCTTCCAGTGCCTCTGGTCGAGCTATGTGGAAGAGGCAAGTTGCTAACCAACAATCGAGGGAGAGCTCTGACAATGACAGTGACACGACAATGGCTCGTATTTTGCTGCCCTCGGGAGAGCAGATCCACGATATGTGCGTCGATAGTATTTCTTCCCTGATGCTCAAACTCTAGCTCATGGCCAATTGCACCCGTAGAAGCAAGTTATACTTGAAGCATTGCATCAAGGATGAGCAGCGCTCAGCGTATCGTATCAATCAGGAGAAGGCTCAATCGGCACGCGAAGTAAGATCCACTGGAAGCGAGCGACAGCCCCTTGACCCAGAACACAGCCTTGCTCGTAAACTAACGGGTGTCCCAGATGCTATCTACAACACGGACTGTGGATCCAACAAGGTACTAATTGTTTACGCCCCAACAACAACCTTTGAGTCGCCCTCCACTCGCTAAAGGTGTTGCTTGTAGACCCTCCAACGACACGTCACAGATGGGTCCAACACGTGCCGCGGGGCCTTCAGCTCAACGAAAGATCGATTTGCAAGCACAGCCGCTTATCGTTCGTCTTCCTTTGCTAGCGTGGTAAAGGAACCTTACGCAGATCCACAAGCCGTGGGCCCGGGGACCTATCGTGCACCTCGACGGGCTATAAACGTGAAGAAGAAGCAGGTTCCTACCCCGGCGTACGTTAGTAAGGCGGCACGATTCGAAGAAGCGAACGCTCAAGTCACTGCAGTGCTGGCTCTGGTGAGCCCGACAGCCAACTCGCCTAAGGATCGAGATTACATGTTTGCCAGCAGTCCCCGCGGTGCCGGTGGTGGTGGCCACTCTCCACGTGACAAAGTGCGTGGGCCTGTACTCTCAACAACGCCTCGCTTTAAATCGGGTGTGTTCCCAGGTACAGTTCAGCATTCTTTCTCCTATTGTAGGACCTCTCCCCCTCTCATAATTGCCACGCGATTAGAACGCTATGTATCGTCAAAACAGCATCACATCCAGGACGAAGCCCCGGATCGGTTCTACGACGTTAGTCCATCCTGCAAGGTAACACTTTCCCGAGATTATCGTTACCGTACCAACGTCTAACCACCCTTTCCTGCTACAGTTTTCAATGAGCGATACTGTTGCCAGCTCCAGCTTCAAGTGCTCCTCGATGCAGTCACGCGCGAATCGACTTTCCTCTGTACGTAAATAGAACGGTGTCGGAGAAGTCGGCATTTTTAACGAACCCTTTGTAGGAAGCTGCAATGGTTCACAATACACCCAATTTTCCAATCTTGGCAAGTCCGACAAAGGAGACCGTCGGACCAGGAGCCTACACTCCCTCCTCTAAGCCTAGGCCGCCCGAGGATGTTAATTTCATCATGATGCCGCATCACGTACGCTGCCAGGTGACTCTAAATTGTGAACTCAATCACTAATCCAAACAACTGTAATGTAGGCGGACCGCTTCGGGCTGCCCAGCTCCAATTCCAACTTCATCGAGGCTCGCTTCCGTCGCTTTGCCGCAGATCCAGAGCCTCGTCGTCCATCTCCCAGATAAAACTGATCATCACTCCTCTTCAACAGCAACAAAATGAACTTTTTTTTACTAGACTCATGTTATTGGCAAAACAAAGTGTTGGTTGTTTTCAACCAATCCGAATCCGTTGATTCAGTGGCGATAATCACATCGCAAGAAGGAAGAAATATGGCGACGAACAAGTTGTGGAAGACTGCGCCTACCAAGGTACTCAAGACCATCAAGCCCATCGTGCACTGGGGCTTTGTGCCTCTAGTCGTGTACATCGCGCTCAAGCAAGAGCCTGGCCTCACGTAAGTCAATTTTTCATTTAACTGCGCAGCGTTTAGAAATGTATTAACGTTTGGCATTGCAGTCTGATGCAGATTATCAACCCGTTCGCGGCCCCCGCTGAGCCTCCTCAGATGTAGAATGACGGATGAGAAACTTGAGCGCAGCGAGATGCCTCGAGGACCGAAATTCGGGCCTCTTAGAAGTCACGAGAAACAAATGGACGAGACTCTCCATCTCTTATGGACAATTTGGGCGGATAAAGGTGACGCGATTCAGTCAGCCAAGATGAATTTAGGCTGGATAGGGAATGGATGGTGCTTGGAGCCGAGCTGCTGTCTCCTAATTTCTTTTTGTGCTCTTAATTCTTATGTTTTCTCTTTTTTGCATTCCTGTCCTTCTTGTCAGTATGAATTTTGAAGAACTCTAGAATCGAAAAGAAATTTAGCACTTCCAGATCCGGCACGTGTTGTCCTTAGAGCCTGCACACAAATTTCATTCATTAGCTGTGAATAAACTCAATTGGCCAAAAAGTTGCCATTGTACCTGTGATAATTGTGTCGCCCTCGTAGTTAAAGGCGCAGCTGAAGATTTCGTCCGTGTGGCCCTCGAGCATCTGCAGACAGTCGCCGGTCTCGACTTCCCAGAGTCGCGCTACCTTGTCGCTGCTGGCTGTGAGGACCTTGGAGCCTTGCGGGTTGAAGCAAACCTTGGAGATTTCCGCCTCGTGGCCGATCAAAATGGCTTGGCACGCGCCCGTCATGGTATTGTAGATACGCGACGTGCCGTCTGCCGACGCTGTCACGAGTTTGGAGCCCGTAGCATTGAAACTCACGTCCAGGATCTCGTCATTGTGGCCTCGAAGTGTCTGTACGTTCTGTCCGGAGGCGACGTCCCATATCTTGCAGGTGCGGTCGATAGATCCGCTGATACACAGCTCGCCCGTGTAGTTAAACTGCGTGCTGGAGATCTCGCCGTGGTGGCCTGCGAGTGTGTGGATACAGCGGCCACTCCGCACGTCCCACACTTTGACTGTGTGGTCAAAGGAGCCCGTGATGATGCGTTCTCCTTGCGTGTCGAAGTTCAGACTCACGATCTCGGCCGTGTGGCCGAACAAAGTGTGCAGCTCCTGACCGGTTTCCACGTCCCACAGCTTCGCCGTGTTGTCCATGGAGCCCGTTCCGATGACGGTTCCTTGCGGGTTGAATGCCAGACACACAATCTCTGTCGAGTGGCCTCGGAACGTGTGGTACAGCTGGCCGGTTTCGGCGCTCCAGAGCTTACACGTCTTGTCGAACGACCCGGTGATGATCTTGTCTCTGTGAGTCGGAAGAGAAGAGTATTAGAAGAGGGTTATTTTGTCATAAACAAAGAGGATACTAACCCGTAAGGGTTATTGAAGGCGATGGCATAGACTACATTCTTGTGGCCTTCTAGAGTCAGCAGCTCGTCACCAGTCTGGGTATCCCAGACTTTGCAGGTGCGGTCATAGCTACCTGTAATGAATCTGAGGGAGTGACGTTAAACAGAATCGAAGTATGGACTGTCAGAATCGAGTTTCTTTACTTGTCTCCGGACTTGTTGAAGGCGCAGTTGGTCAGCGGCAGAATATGCGCCCGTAGAATCTTGAAGAGGTAGAAATCATTGCTGTCGTTCACCTCGAGCTTCTCGATGAGCTCTGACATAAACACACACGTTTACAACTATGAGGGGTGGCCCATTCCATCAGTACGAGTCTTCTCGGCTCACTGTAAATGAGACGCCGAAGCTGCGGCTTGCGGGACTCGGAGATGAGCGGCTCTTCAAACACGATCTGGTTCACCAGCACCTCGATATCCGACCTAACCATTGAGATTCAGTTTTCGTCAGGCTACAACTATCTGCAACAGTCTATTCGATTGGGATCCAGAGCGTACTCTGCTGTGAGATGCAACAAGTCAATCTCCTTCATCTCGCGTGTGCCGTCACGAAGTTCATACTCGAGGATGATCCCCGGCGGATAATAGCGCAGCAGGAATCGTTTGAGTTTCATGATGAGGCCTGTTGTTGTGTTTGGGTAAGTGGCAAAGGAGGATCGGTTCGCGATCCTAGTGCCGTCACTAGTGGCGACCCTTGGATGCTTGATGTTTTCTACATTAAATCAAAAAGAAATGGCTACATTATTCCCGCTTTAAACCTGAGTGTATTCTGTACTGAAAACGTATTCAGGCCAGGTCCATCTCCTGAAGGTCCAAATGCAGCGTTTCAGTCCAGTTAACGTAAGCTGCTATTGTAGCAGATAAAATAAAAGCATACCTGGAATAGTGTTTGCTCCTGCAGGATTGCACACAACCTTCCACCCATCTGGAGCTGACCAGCCAAGATTGTTTTTAAAATGCGATTCCTTTCCTCGGCCTGAAATCTTGCTAGATAATGCTCTTCCGCCCGCCCTTTCCACACCGACCTCCCCTCCATCTTGACATTACTGAATTCGAAGTATTGGCGAGGGAGGAGGCAACACCGACGCTTTGGCGCACGAAGCTGGTGCACTTGGTCTTCCAACTCTTGCACTCGCCGACGGAGAAAGAGGATTTCTGCTTTTTTGCATTGTTGCAGTCTGGTAGACGAACTTAGGTTGCGCCTCTTCCTCTTCTTTTTCTTGAGTGTCTTGTGCATACCAACGTCAGTTGGCGATGCATCACCGCCTCCAAGCATCACGTCTCCGGTGTCAGTGACGATTGAGTCACTGACGTCGCAGGAGTCAACGAATGCAAGAACCTCCCCCAGCGTCATGAACTGATCCTTGTCATTACCGGTAAGAAGAGAACTCATCGTCGTCGTTTGTGAAGCCCTGCCAAATTTTTAATGAAGCCCTTTTTGTGGATGCTCTTGATCAGCCTTGACTAATAAAAATAGTCCAAGTAAATGAAAGGGACTCATCACACTGAAGTCCGACGTGTTCTGCAAGATTTGCTTCCAGTTGAACACGCTGCGCGCTTCACGCCACTTCGGATGTTGTCGACAACAGTACTGTACTGTTCAATTGTGTCCTGATTCTGCTTTGCTAAAATCCATTTTTGTGATATCCATGGACAAGTAAACACTCAGCATTAAATTCACAAGCATGGCTTTGTTACGACGCCATGCTTGCGAATTAATGCTGGTGTTTACGGTACTTACCGGATATCGGAGAGGAAATAGAGCAATTTCCATAAGTCAGTAGTTACTACTGAGATCGGGTGATTTGATTTGGTGCGTGTAAAGTACTGATCAGTAGTTGTCCCAAGCGTTAGATGTGTTACGCCTGGGTAGTAACATAATAGTAATACACAGTGATGCTCAACCATCGAATGCATGAAGTAGAGCTACATGCTCTTACAAAACAACTTTCTCATTTCCATTTTATCCACGCCATGGCCCCTGTACTCCGCAACCTCTCGAGGAAGAAATTGGGCCGACCCAAAAAGCGCCTGCCCCGAACCTGCCCATCCTTCAAAAGGCAAAAAGAAAAGAAGCGAACCGGTATTACAGAAAGGTATTCAATTAAAAAAGAATTAGACAAGGTGGATGTGGGATTTTGAGTGCGACGGCTCTAGTGATGACGCTTTGGGCGACGAGGCCATGGAAAAGCCTAAGTAGAGGTTGTTTTGGAGACAACTTGTCCACTGCCAAGGGATTGGCTCTGGACGCAGGTAGTAGATCTTCGCTAGAGTGATATTGAGTGGAGCATGATAGAAGTACTATTACCTATTTGGAAGTGGTAATATTAGAATATCATTTACTACAGGTTGTTCTGTGATTCCCACACGCATGACGTGGTTGTGAGCAAATTAATGCGAGTCACCTTCCAGCTTCCGTCAGCTCCGTTGACATTGATAGCAAACGGGCACTCAATTTCGTCATAGGAGGTGTTCTTGTCGAAGAACTGCTGACCATTCAGCTTTTTGCAGACATACTTTGCATTTCCACTATCGTTTGCCTTGCTACTGAAGCTTTTGACAAACAACTGAAAGCCGGACGGTTGAGCAAGTTCCCTGGCAGCGTTCTTGAATTGCTTTTTGAGATCCGTGAGTCTCGATCCCGATGTTCTCTCGCCGCTGGTACGCCACACCGTAGTTGCTCTTGCCACAGTCTGGCATTCCAATTGGTACATCTTGTCTCAACAAGCCAAGCGACCTGGCCATATCCAGCTCTGACACGTTCACCACGAAAGGAGCCGACCCGAAAGTGCGAGCTTTTCGTGTTTGAGAGCGGAGCATCGGTCAGTGTATTGTGTGCCTCGTGGAACTAACGAGCTGGTGAGAGGAAACAGAGAAATGGGCTTGTAGCAGTGAGAAACGAATGCACGACGACAACAATCGAAAACCAAGTCAACGTCTGTTGAGTGCCGTTGAATTTCCATATTAGATTTAAAAAAATGTTGTTAGCATGCGCATTATATGTAGAATACTATACTATTTAATTTGAATATGAAATGAAGTACAATTTCATAACTACTGAGATTCGCTGACAATAGCAGTATTTACAAATCAAATCACCCGATCTCAGTAGGAACTACTGACTTATGGAAATTGCTCGAGGAAATACCATCGGTCAGTAGAAAACTACTGATCTGTCCCCAACGCGGCGCAGAAAAGACGGCAATCAGTAGAAAATGATAAAGTTCGATCCGTATCTAGCTCTAATCATAGCTACATTTCTGCTGCCTTCAGCAAAACCGCTTTTGCCCTAAGCGTACCATGCCTCGAAAGCCGCCTCCGAATTATGGGAGCTCTCCCTTCGTGGTAGATCTTTCTGACATCGCTACAGCTATAAGCATGGGTGTTTTGAGGGAGGACGCAAAAGTTGATGCCTCAGACCGCTCCAGCCAAATGTATGGGGGGGGGGTATACGCGACGCGAACCAATATTGCAGACACTGAGTTTCTAACACAAATAAGGAAACTAACGACACAAACAATTGCAATCGTTGACTGCTGATTAATAATGAAGGAATTTCTTTCCAATAGATTATCTTACTGATCCTCACTCTCAATAAATATCAGCAGCAATCGGACTGGGGAGTCAATCTCTGTGAGTAGATAGAACTCTACTAACGTACCCTGAGAGTAACCAGTTGGATACGTCGTGTACCCAGCTACTTCAACGTCAACATGTTATTTCGGTGTACTATTTTTTAGCTGCTCAAAACGAATATATTTATATGGTTGTTTTTGTGGAATGCACGTCGGTGGCATTCGCCATTTTGGTCGATGCCTCCGCTCAACCTCCGACAGCGTCACCCGAACGACCCAGCGCCGTCTGGACGGCTCCTTTTGGCAGCCTTGTCTAAGCAGAGAAGTTAGCATACCGAACGAAGTCGACCGAGAGCTGGACGCCGAGCGTGCATCGTCCATGGGTGGTGGGTAACGTGACGTTGTCAGTAGAGGAGGAGGTCTTTTTGCAAACGAGCGCCGAGCTCGTAGAGGAGACAATGCTCAGCTCTTCGAGGTAGAAAGAATATACGCCAAACGGTGGGTCAATAACTTCGTATACTACCTTATTCAATGGGTGGGGTACCCAGAGTTGACGTGGGAGCCAAGTACCAACGTGCCAGCGCGCCTAAAGATGGTGTTCGAACACGAGTCAGTCAATTCCGTCTGGGTCTATCAATCTACGCGGGGAAGATGAACCCAGCGTCGCGAGCAGCCAACGCGCCGGAGTCAGAGACTGATAGACCAAACGAGGCAGGACAAAGAGAAAATGCAAATGCGAACTTAGCACCAAACGAGGCAGGACTAAGATAAAATGCAAATGCGAACTTAACAGCACTCCAGTAGCTGTGAAATTAGTAGTTGTGCAGGCAGCGCCGCGTTGGGGACAGATCAGTAGTTTTCTACTGACCGATGGTATTTCCTCGATATCGGATTATGCGAATGGCGGATCAAGTAAACGTATGTATTCTCGGTTGTATTTCTGACGATCGCAGACTGCTCATTGGCTGAATTCCCAGTACTTACGATTATTGTGCTTGCACTGCATCTGAAAAGTGGCGTGTGATTTGTGAAAGATGTTGCACACAGATTGTCAGATTGCGGTCAGTTTTGAGCCAAGCTAACGTTAATTTACAAAGATCCAGCTGAATTTAAATCATCACTCTATTTACTACATACAGTGATGATTTAGATCCAAGTTCTATTTAGAGAGCCTCACGGCGTCGTTCACGTAAACATCAGAGCCATGTCAAGTCACTACAGGCCCGAAGTAGTCAGGTTCATGCCCTTCAAGGACGGCGTCTAGTACAGCGGCTACCGTTGCAATGGAGACGCTACTCCAGATCAAACCCGACCATTGGTGACGATGTATAAATCAAAACGTCTACATCGACCCAGCTCCCAGTGAGGACGTGAGGTCTGTCCACCGCCGTTCGAGCGCTCTTGAGATCTCTAAGAAGGCTATACAGGTTCAACTCCCACAAAAAATTATCACGGGAGACGCCACGGCGGCGATCAATTATCATTTCAGGCAAAGATTTCATTTCATAGAAAATGAAGTGGTCCACACGACAAGCCTGTTGGCCTAGAATAGCTGCATTCAACAACGCACAGCTCACTACGACCGTCTAGCATGCCGTCGAAGCCTCGTGTTCTTCGCGTGGGCAACCTCACTGAAGGAGAAAAAATGCAGCTGTACGACAAGCACAAACGTGAGCCAAAGCTGACCCAGAACCACTTAGCGGAGTGATGTCGTGTCAAGTTCAGCCTAGAAAAGGCTTCTGTACAAGATACAATATCAAACATTCTGCGACGCTTCAAGAAGTCACCAGCCATGCTGATTGCTCCTGATCGAAAGTCAAATCGAGCAGTCACGTACCCAGAACTAGATGCCGCTCTTGCTCTTTGGGTTTATAATAAGCAGGCGAACAGTGTACCCATTTCTGACGAGCTCATTCAAACCAAGGCAAGGGAGCTGTACGAAGCTTTGAAGGAGCGTGGAGTGACAGGCAAGGAGATTCTGTTTTCAGCTGGTTGGCTTAGTGCTTTTAAAGCACGGCATGACTTTAAACGCATTCGTCTCCATGGGGAAGCAGCAAGCGTAGATAGTGAAGCTGCTGTCAGCTTTCCGGCTCGCATACAGCCTAAGTTGAATAGCTACGCTGCTGCCGAAATTTTTAGCTTCGATGAAACTGGGCCTTTTTATCGCCGCGCGCCTACAACTACAATTGGAAAAGGGCATGCTTCGCTTCGAGGGAGCAAGCGCGACAAGACTAGGATCACCATTGTCTTAGCTGTCAATATGGAAGGCACCTGCCAGCTCGAGCCGTTGCTCATTGGGCATGCTAAAAAGCCCCGTGCTTTCAAGAAAAAGACCCCTCTTGAGCTTGGTTTCACGCACTACTACTCGAACAAAAAGGCATGGATGACAACCGTGATATTCCGTGATTGGTTGGAACTAATTAGCGCTCAGATGCTACGCAACGACAAAAAAATAATCCTTTTGATTGATAATGCTTCGTCACACGTGAATGTGGAGCTCTCTCATGTCGAAATTATATTCCTTCCACCCAATGCTACGGCCATACTTCAGCCTTTGGACGGAGGCATAATTGGATGCTTTAAAGCCCAGTACAGACGTTTACAGCTTATACATGCTGTAGCTGCGGCTGACAGAAACGAGAAGGACTGGTTCAAAGTAGACGTTTTGACTGCGATGCGATGGGTAAAACTAGCCTGGAATGAAGTGTCGTGCGATACAATTGTCAACTGTCGGAGGAATTGTGGATATTCTTGTGATTACGCGTCATCAACAAGAGTTTATCCTCTAGGAGCTCGGCGTTCAATGGAAGCCTCTCTAGCTGATATTGTCCAGGCCGTTGAGGTTTTGCTACTTATAAGCTGCTCATCCGTTGATGATATCCTGAATCCGCCAGGTGAAAATGAAGTGCATTTTGCCTACCGTGACTCTGAAGTTGTAGACATAGTGATTGGCGTGGATGGTGATGATAGCATCGAGGATGACGACGAAGAAGAGCAGCATGAAATCCCTGATGACGCTGAATTCGCTGCTGCGATGGATGTCGCTCTCCGCAAGTTGATGGCTGAGAACGATTCCACAGAAGCGCTATGCATCACTAGAAGCTTTTTGAACAGGAGCTTGTTCGAGTACAACAAGAACAAGCTTGTGCACAAGAAGCAGCAACTCATTACCTGGCACTTTAAGCCAATTTGAAATTATCATCGAGGTAGCCGATCTCTATTAAATATCAGCTAAGACAGATAATATTAAGGCCAATACAAATTCCAATATAAGCTAAACGGGAGATCGTGAATTGACAATTTTTGATCATTTATCACGCCATATTAGATGATAGAGCATCAATTATGGGAGTTGCACCTGTATCGGCATTCATTCCGCCAGTGCTGGTAAAGACGTCTGTTCAAAGAATGTTGAAGACGTCCGTTTGTTTGAACAGTTTTTACCGAGCGTCTATTCTCCTTTTTACAGACACTCAAAAGACACCTACGAGTAATTACGGGTGCGGTTTTGACTTGAATTTATTAAGACGTTTAATCGGGCAAAGTCCACTAATCGGTTAATCGCTCATAATGAACCATTCTGATTTTGCTACCTGCGGAGTCCACTATTCGGTCGCTGACAGTAGTCAATGGTACACGGTACCTTTTGAGCAGACGTCTGTTTTTTCCTTCAAAAGACAATGGACACTTTAGACACTGTTTAAACATGTCCATTGTAAAGACGTCGTATCTTTCCACTGCCAGCACTGATGCCGCGTATCAAATCAACATGGGAACCAGGGACGGAGCGAGGCAACTCCATACGCTCGGACGACGTCAATAAGTTGATTAAGATGGCGAAAAGGTCCGAGGTTCTATCACGAGGGGTTCTGGCGGCCACCGTCTTGGGCACGGTGAGCTCCGTTACCCTCCTCCGCACTTTTCGACGGCCGACCAGATTCGTGTGGGCCACGCTTTCGATGAAGCCATGCAGGGCCACGACGGAGTCGCTGAGAAGTTGTGGGCCGGCCTCGGTCTCCGTGGGACAAGCGCGGCTAGAGCGTACGGTCCCCGTAGATGACGAGGACGAAAGTCATGGGGGACCGGAGCTTCTGAAGGACAGTGTATCTTCGCGGTGAGGCGGTGGGGTGAGCGGTACCGCCTTGCTGTCGTGGTGTACAAAATCGTGGACGATGATTGCGAAACGGTGCCTGACGGCGGGAACGAGGACCATGGAGGACGAAGTGCGGGCCGCAAGGAAGAAGGAAAGAGGTCAGTCGTGAATTTTCCTTGAAGACAACAAGCAGAAAAGAATTTGTGTTGACATTTGTCTTTAGCTTGTTGCTTCTGTTTATATCTCCGTACTGTTCTACTCCTATACAGCGTCGACCGTCCCATCCAAGGACGGCTCGCGACACGTGATGGAGAAGCAGGGTACTGGTCTTCGTTGTGAAGAAGAACCGTCGGAGACGTCGTGGAGTGTGATCCCGTAGTGCAAGGAGGTCTGGTATCGAGCCCGGACGCATAGGGACTGGAGTGTGATTTTCGGCGCGGAATTCCTGGTATAGAGCCCAGGGGCGCATAAGGGAGTGGAAAGTTTGGAGTTTATTCGGCGCGGAATTCCTGGTATCAAGCCCAGGGGCGCATAAGGTAGTATTGGGAACAAGGGTTAGACGAGGGAAGCATTGGAGAAGAGTGTCATGTCGGTATACGTGGAAGACGACTATGAAGAGGACCTGAGGCGGTCTGCTGCCAGAGAGGCGGCTGAAGAAGGACAGAGTCAGGGAGACTCTCAGACGGAGGATGTAAAAGATGAAGATGAGGAAGAGAAGGCTCCTGTGGGAGTGACAACCGCTGCTGATCGGGACGCTCTATGTAAGAGCACGCGCGACGAGCTACGGGCGGCTGGAGAAGGCCGGTTGGAGGTGACGAGTGGCGTCAAAGACGCGGTCAAGGTAGAAGAATAGGTGAAAACGGAGCCGGCGCCCGGTACGGAGGCGGTGTCGCCGGGCCCGGACGAGGTACCCCTGGTGGAGAAGGAACGTTCCTCTTGAGGACGACTACCCAACTTGCCTATGAGCACGGCAGCTTGGTATAGTGTCCGTCCAGTACGAGGAGGACGAGCCTTTCGTTGAGAATTGGGAGCCGGCCAAGAAGAAAGAGCCCCAGTGGATTCATTCCGCAGTACACTGGAGCCGAGGAGCGCCGCTGGGACCCGGCCGGCGTTTGACTGGAGCTGGACGTCCAAGGGGTTCACACCCTCGGACAACACGGTGCTCGCGTACACGGCGTCCGTGCCCCAGCCGCCTTACGAGGCTCCGCCGGTCGCCGTTAAGAAGACGGTCGCTGCCAATCCGGTGGCCCCTTACAGGACCACGGGACCGGGCGTGCCTGGGACGGGTACTGCTCGGACGGCTACTGCTGCTACGGGAGGTCAGAGTAACGCGGCGACCCGGACGCATCCTGCTCCGCCTGGAGTACGTAGGACTGGTCCGCGCCCTGATTGGACGGGACTAGTAGGGAGCGCCCCGGGCGTTCCGCCGCGTTCGGCAGTGGTGCCGCGAGGTCCGCAGGCCCCTTCGCGTGCTGGTGTTCGACCGCCGGTCCGGGCCCTGCCTGGGCCGTCACGCCTGCCGAGGCGTGAAGACTGGACCTCGAAGATGTCGACTGTGATGAAGGTGCTGCCGATGTTCTACTCGGACACGGCTACGGTGGAGAAAGTGCGCGACTTCTGGAAGCTGTTCGAGGACCACACTGACCGGTTGCCAGACAGAGAGCGACTGTTGGTTTTTCGACAGAAGCTGAAGGGACGTGAGGCCGAAAGATGGTGGAGCAACGCCAGCATCAAGTCGTTCGCGACGCTGAAGGTGCGTTTCCACAACCGGTTCCTCAGCAGGACGGCTGACGAGCTCTAAGAGAGACTGTACTCCACTAAGCGTGAGCGTGGCGAGTCTGTGGAGGAATGGGGAGACCGAGTCACGGATCTGTGCGACTCCCTCGACTATCCGAACCCTCAGATGCGGTATCAGTTGTTCCGTCGTGGCCTGAAGAACAAGAGGATGCTGGCTGCTCTAGATTCAAGCCCGACTCGAGATATTCCGGAGGCGTGCGAGTGGCTAATGCTTAAGGACATGCATCGTCCTGTGGAGGAAGACGACGAATTTCCTGACGAGTCGCGGGCGAGGACTGATAGTCACACGGCGACTGTGAACGCTCTAACCCAGAAGCTGGACGACTTCCTGTTGCAGCAGCAGGAATGGCAACACCAGGTGATGGAAGATTTGCAGTCCGTGCCGCCGGCTGCGGTGCCTACTGTATCGGCGGTGGTGCCGATCTCCGGAGGCCACGGACAGCTCCCTCCCGCTGGTGGAGCTGGTCCGTTCGGAGGTAATCGTGCCCGTCGAGGCATCAAGATGGCGTAGGATTCCCACACGCAAGAAGGAGAACATGTCTGTGGCCGATGCGACTACAAGGGTCACACTCGCGTGACGTGTTCGCGCCAAACGATGACTTGCCGACGGTGTAACCAGTACGGTCATATTGTGGCTGAGTGTGAGATGCCGTATATTGGGGCCCGTGGCCCGCCTAGCGGTGGAAACGGAGGAGAAAACTCGACGATGCGGTGTTTCTACTGCCACCAGATCGGTCATAGTGTCTCTCAGTGTCCCACGATCGCTACTCTGAAGGAATTGGCCACGACTCTGAAGGCGTCGACGGCCGAAGCGTCTCGTCAATGACGGGAGCGTGAGGGAGGGGAAGAACGAGTCACTCCTTCCTCTGGTCAAGTGGATGACTCGAGTGGCGGCCGAGTGAAGGATGGAGGAGACAAGGCCGTTACAGTGGACGTTGATGAAGAGGTAGCAGTGACGGGGAAAGACGACAGCGCGGTGGCTGTTGTGGTGCAGAAAGAGAAGAAGACGAAGGAAAAGGAGAAAAAGTCGAAGGAAAAGAGGGGTATCCGGATAGTAGGCACGGAAGAAGAGGGAAACCTTGTCGTGGTGAACGACGCTCCGGAACGGTGTGAGAAGGTAGCCGTGGATCTACCCAAGGTGGCCTCTACGGTGGGAACTACCGTCGCTGTCGACGGCGTCACGGTTCCTGTGGAGACTCTGCCTGTGGGGCAGAAGACGCGGCCGGAACGAAGGATGCGTGCGGAAGGGGTAAGCAGTGTTGATGGACCTAGCGCCGCTGTGACGTACAGGAACAAAAGGGCTGACACGGACGAGGATGCCAAACCGAGCAAGGAGATCGAGCAAGCTGAAACTGGCTGTATTTTCACGGATGCGGAATTGGACGCCATGGAGGAGTGTGAGCCCGGCCAAGAGGCTACGGTTCTAGCTGGCACGAAAGTTAATACGGAAAGTAAAGAATATGACAAGGAGTTAGAAGACCGTTTGTACCCGTTGGACGAAGCCGTTGTATTGGAGCGTGTGCGGCTAAACACTGAGGCCGTAAGGGATCCTTCGATAGCGGAGTTGTCTCGGTTGTTGGGCATCTCACCCGAGGTCTTGGAGCGAACTCGCCGTGCCTTCCCTGGAGAGCTTGCATCGCCGGAGCACTGGCAAGACTGGTTCCGGAAGACGTTGGAGACGACCGAGGAGGCCAAGCGGTCCAACCGAGACTTCAAGACGCCCGTAGTAAATGCTGTGCGTACGGTTATTACTACCCTAAGAAGGTCGTCGCCGTCGGAGAAGCTGAACGAGGGCCGTGAGACTCCCCGACGAGTGGAGGATCGAGGTGAGGACGACGTCTGTGCCAACATCCTGTTGCCCGCCGTCGAACCTGATGCTGGAGGAGAAGACGGAAGACTTTCACGCTCTGGGGACAGTTCTCCGGTAGTTGATCGTCGAGGCGTACGTGCGGCGGCGCGTACCGCCGCTTATCGCTGGTTGAAAGAGTGCTTGGAGGCTGGTAGCGCGACGGCGTCGACGCCCGGCGAAGACGGACCTACGACTGACGGAATTCAGCCTAGGTGGGACGAGGCGCCTACTCCGGATTGGCAGCGTCTCTGTGCTCTCGCCGAAAGGGGGGCAGCTGGACCTACTAAGAGCGGGATACCGTGGGGACGTTTAGAGACATACCTCATAGCGTACTTAGAGGTGGAAGGGGCTCTCGTCTGGACCAAGCTCCTCCTGCGGGCTAAAAGGGGGAGGAATTCGTCGGCACGACGCCGTGAGCGGCGGAGAGCGGCCCGGCGGATGGATGTCTCTACGCTCTTCGAGCCAACGGCTGGGTTGTGCGAGCTGCTGTTCTATCCCGAGGACGAAGACGACGCCTCCCACTACGTGGAGGTGGTGCGGCCGTCACCGAGGGTCGTTACGAAGGTGCCGAAGACCGGCTTGGTGGAAGTAGCTACCGTGGAGCTGCCTGGTGGGTCTGGCGTCTCCCACGATGACGTAAGAGCCGATGTCCATGTCGTGGTCGAGGATGGCCGACGAGTCGTGTGCGCCGTTGGAAACTTTGAGGCACTCTCGAGTGGGTACATTGAGTGCTTACCGTCTCGGATGCTGGCCGACACTGGTGCGACTCTGAGTCTCGTGGACAGTCGAGTATTGAAGCGATTGGGCCGGTCCCAGGAGACGCTGGAGCCGTACGGCGGCCAAGTCAAGAGCTCGTCGGGACACCCTCTCAAGATACGGGGATGGATCGGTCTCTCACTGCGACTGGGAGCTGTGGAGGTCTCCCTTAGTGTGCTGGTAGCTGACAAGTTGCACGTCGACGCCATTTTGGGGGTGGACGCCTTGGGTGCTTTTGGGGCGGTGATCGATGTCGCCGAACGAAGGATGACGCTCAAGGGTACCGGTGAGGAGCTACCGCTCGGGTACACGGTGGTGCAGGACGCCTACATGGCTCAGATGGCCGCCTCGATACGCCTGCCTCCGCGAGGCCAAGCTCTAGTGATGGCCAACGTCGTCGGCGACGCTGCTGACAAGACTACGGTCCTGGTGGAAAGCACTGTTGGTCTCTCGCCTGCTCTGTGTGTCGCGCGGACCTTGTGCACGGTGGAAAACAGCCAGGTCCTAGTCGAGGTGTGTAATGCGTCGTCCGACGTGAGTTGGGTCCACGGTCGTTTGTGTGTCTGTGATTTCCGAGTCGGCGTTTGGCCCTCTTTCGCCTTCCGTGCCAACCGGCGCGGCGGTCGAGTCGACGGAGTCCCAAGAAGTGAAAGTGTCGTCGACCTCGGGGAACGTTGAGTTAGTGGAGCTCGAGCGCCCGGAGCCGAAGGTGCCGCCCGACAAGGAAGAGAAGGGCGAGGCGGATTTCTCACAGTCCAAGTTGACGGACGAACAGATTGAACTGTTCCGCGAGGAGCTGATCCGCTTCGACGACTTATTCGTCACGTCGTCCATGAAACCTGGGAGGACAGACCGACTCAAGTTTGAGATAGACACCGGGGATAATAAGCCCATAAAGCAGCCGCCCTACCGTGTGTCGATGGCGGAAGGGGAAGTCATGGAGGCTGAAGTGCAGCAATACCTGGATCTCGGGTTGATCAGTGTGGTGTTGGAAATCCCACGTGAACTCTAGCTACAGATGTAGTTAGGATGTTCCCACAACAATACGTCTACTAGGATAGTAAACGATCGTTCGGGCGGACCTGAAGACCCCAGTTCTGCCCTTGCACCGGGACAAACTGGACCTTGTAAACTACTTATATAGGCCAACCAGTAAAATAAGAACACGCTACTAGCACGAGCAAAGCTAGCAGGTGTTTTGAATCCTCGTGGTCCCAACAGCGGAAGGGTACCAGGCACGGGTAAGCCTTTTACGAGATCACCGAGTGTTCAACACTCGGCTGGAAGAAATAAAAGGGAGGCAATTCAAGCACTCCCAGTCGTGCAAATAGGCAACAATAAGCCGTCACGTAAAACCTCCCGATAATAATCGGCCAATACACAAAGTCTCTTGGCCTTGCCGGATGAACCCTCGCTACAGAGCTTCGAGTTCACCGACAGGCATAACACACTCAAACAAGCTTGACCTGACGCTTACCTTGAAGCCGGACGTCGCTTTGTGTGCTTGAGTGGAAATTCTGTTCTGTATTTAAGCTTACCCTTTCGGGTCTATTCCTAATAAGAAGTCCTAATCAAGTATACAAATATCAAGTGAACAATGATCCGTTATGGATCTTCTTGCATGCCAAGCGTCGTCTGCACTGTCGCATGAGCATCTTCAACGGTCCGCGCCCTGTCCCAGACGGTTAACGTGTCTTCCAAAGGTCGCTGAGTATTCCGCGAACTCATCCCAACCGCCACTGAGGGTTCGTACCGTAGATGGTCCGCTGAATGCGAATCCGGCCAGTCCATTATTAATAAAAGGACAGCCCGGATTCAGTGACATAGGGCCGTATCCGATATTTGTTGAAAACTCGGAGGTGACGCCGTCGAGTCCCTTGCACCTTGGCGTCTCCGTACATCACCCGACCGAGGGTTCGTCGCTTGAACAACTTGGGCCACGTCTTTGTCGACGGGTGATAATCCGCAACCACGGAGAAATCACTACACCACAACTGCCCCTGTCGCAATGGAAGCCACGGTACTGGTGCCCGTTGTGATATTTCTTCATTCTTCAATTCACCATCTCGCCACCGTATGTCCAAGCGTCTGAATCGAGTCGTGTCCGACGCGTTTCAGCATCTCAATCCTCGTAGACGTCGCGAGCGTGAGCAGCTGGAGGTACGTAAGCCCATTCTTCTCTTGAATCATCGGTACCTTGCTCATCACCTCGCATTACTCGACTTGTTACTCAGGAGGGCAAGACCGAGGGTTCGAACGCCCCTCAGTCTGCGGCACTTCCTCCGACAGCAGCGTCATCAACCGGTCCTCCGGCGCCCGCTGCCCCATACTCTTCACTTCCTGCGGTAGCTCCTGCAGCACTCCCCGTCGTCGCTGAATCCGCGGAGATGGCTCCTGCTGCTCCTCCTGCCCCAGCTGGTGGTCCACCACCACTCACCGAAGATTCGCTGCGCGCCATGCTGGCTGAAAGTACGGAGGCATCGGTCGATCACATGATGACCTCGATAATCCCGTACTTGACTGCAATGGCTCGTCACCAAGTGCAGATCAGCGTTGTGCCTCCTCTCCACGGCGATATACACACTCAGCGTCGTCTCGAGACAGCTATTGGTTTCGATGAGGTCCTCGCTGCGATACAACCTGTTCCTGACGCGCTGTCGGCATTACCCCAACGCGTTGCCGACTTAGAGCGTCAGTTGCGGTTTGCTCAGTCCGAGGCTGCTGCCGCCGTGCGTTCGGTGGCACCCCACATCATGGCTCGTGAGAACGCGGAGACGTTCCTCAAGGCTGCAAACGCTGAGATTGAAGCCTTACACCACCACGTCAAGATTCTCCGCGAGTCGAACGCCAAGAACGACGCCATGCTCGCCACTGTTCAAGCCACTATGGAACGACACGCAGAAGACTTGAATCGTCTGCACTGCGAGGTCCAAGCTCGGGACGTTTTTATCAGCACGTTGCAGAAGAAGCTGGCTCGCGAACGCGAAGTGTACAAGTCTTCTATTGGCGCGAATACTGAGCAGACCCGGAAGCTCCACCTCCTTCTGGTAAAGCTTGCCCAGGGCAAGTATGTCGATAACGACACGCTCAAGGTCCTCGAGAACCAGCAAGACCGTAACACTCGCCTCCTCCAAGCGAATCGTACCCTCCGTGCACACGTGAGTCTGGCAGGGATGGATCCCGAGGTACTTCGTCTGGCTGTCGAAGGTACGCTCTTAATGTTGCTCCTTCCACCGTGTGTTCAGCAACTAACGTTCGTTCACAATCCTTCGTGCTAGGTCTGACTGCGGGTGAGCTGGACCTGGATGCGCTGAACTTGGATCAGGAGACGTTAGTCGCTCTGCGGCGTATTCAGTCTGCCACTGCTTCTTCGGACAATCCTCAAGCCTTTCCGGCAGCTTTGGCCAAAGCAGCTCACCAAGTGGCCCATGGGAAATCCCATAAGCGTCTTAGACCAGGTGGCGAGGATTCAGACGACGATCCGGACGACTCTGACGAAGACAAGGCTCCAATCCCAACGGACAAGGCCAGTGCTTCGATGGCAGCTGCCGGTCTCGGTGATGCGCCACCTGCCGATACTTCAACTCCCAAGTCGGCTCGTAGATCGCTGTTCGGTCCGAAGGCGTGGAAGAAGGCGGCCCAGAAGAAGCGCAAGAAACCCCGTCCTCATTCTCCTGCTAAGTCGCCACGACGTCATATAAAGACTCGGTCCAAGTCTGTACCGTCTTCTCCAAGTTCATGGTCGCCACCTCGTCTTCCTCGACTCCCGCAGTGGTCGACCTCAGCGGCGACCAGAGTGACGTGGACATGGGGACTGCTGATCCAGGCAGCGTCCCTTCGGTTCAAGAAACTGCTACAGAGCCTTCGGGTAAGGACGTGAACCCTGAGGATCACGACGATGTTCCTGTCTCTCCTGACGCGCCTTCGCTCCCGCCTCAGGGTCCACACGATGTGGCCAAGTCACCAGCTTCAACGATTTCACCTTCTCCAGCCGACATACGTGCTGCTGAAGAGGCTCTGCGCGAGGCCGAGGAAATGCGGCTCATGTTTGGCTCGAGTGACGAAGATGAAGAGTCAAACCAGACTGTCCCACAAGGCAAGTCTGCTTCGGCGTCTGCCGCGACATCCAAGGCAGTTGAAGTCTCGGGAGTGGTTTCTACAGCAGGGTCTGCCCCTGTTGAGGCTGCTCCACTAGCTTCCGCGTCTTCGAAGTCGGCTCCGACTGTTCCCACGACTGATGTACCAAGCGTGTCTTCGCCTGGTCTTTCGGTGGAGATTGATGACGATGGGAATGCTGATGACGACTATGGAGATGACGTGGATGACAATGAATCGTCGGTGGATGACTCTCCTGATGTTCCCAGTGGTAGCGGTGATGTTCCGCCCCCCACCGATCATTCAAGCATACTCGATGACGAAGATGTTGAAGATTCAAACAGGAACTGAAGTAATCTTGGCCCAGCTCGTCCTCCGACTCCACCTCGGCCAAATCCTTCGCCGATGATGACTTCCCCAATCATCGTTGCCGGCCCGCCTCCTTCGCCACCAGCAAGTCCTCCGGCACCAGCATCTTCTCTTTCTGTTCCAGTGTCTCCTCGTCCGTCTATTTGGACTCTCGATGCTGGACCTGAACGCATGATTACGGCAACCTATACTTCGGTGCCGCGTCGTGGTGGTGCACCGTCGGTTGAGCCGTTGCCTCACCGAGTGTCATCTGGTACTCGCTCTTCGGTGCCGGCTTCGTCCACCCTGCCACCGTGGGTTCTTCCGTATGTGGACATGGAGTTTACCGATGCAGGCGCCAAGAAGTGTTTCGAGCGACTCCTGAGCTTAACGCTTCCTGAACCAGCTGGTGAGGTGACCGTGCGTACAACGTTGGAGGGTCTCCATGCGTTCTTTGATTATTCGCATCCTGATCACCCGTACCAGCAACTTCGGCAGCTTTATCCTCTTCAAGCTTGCCTCTTTGACACTGTCGACTTCAAACCAAGCGTCCCCATCTCCAAGCGTACCCCGATTGAGACCCGTCTCAAAATGATCTGGGCGAACCTTCGGGGTGACGGCGGTAAGCAAGGTGACCTCGGGTTCGCGTTGTGGGAGCGTCTCCACTGGCTTCCGTTAGCTGGTATTGAACGAGGTCTCGCTGATGAAGCTAAAAAGGTTGGCCACGACACGGAACGCTTGAAAGAACTGAGAGCTATGTTAAAGAAGCTCTTCAGTGAGCGCGACTGTCGTGCCGATCGTTTTCGTAACAAGTACCGTGAGCAGTACATGGCGTGGAGTCGTGACTCGGTTTCATCTAGTGCTTCCGGAGTGTCATTCATTCGTCCCGAGTTGCTTTTGGAGCCGTCTAAGCCGTGGTACCCCATTGAAAACTTGCCATTCACACCTCAGACATCTGACTGGCTTTCCGAAGTTACGGCTCTCGACGCTCGTCAGCCGTGGCGTACTGGATGGATGAATGCGCCGCATCAGCACCCGTACAACACCACGTACTTCCCGTGCCAGCGTAATCCGGAGTTCTTCAATCCTCGTGGTACGCGTTTCGTGGATGTGTACCGAAGCGTGATCGTTGACCCGTCACTCGATTCAACCGAGCTTATTCCGACCTGGCGTTCGTTGTTTGACTCGCCACCGGGTACTCCATGTCCTGCTCTGGCTGCTGCTCCTGTTGAAGCTGGTACCGAGGATTCGCAGGGTCCGGCTTCAGCTCCAGCTGCCGAGACTCAGGTTCTTGATGAAGAGGAGAAGGAGAGTGGTGACTCGGCTTCGTTGACACTCTTGGCCACCGCGGCCAGACACTTGGAATCGATTTGAATCCTCGCTGCACGTTCTACGACGTTCTCCAGCATCTCAGCTAACTGTTGAGGTGTCCCGCGTGACTTCGTTTTCAGTGATCGCTCCGCGGTCGGCATTCATGTTTTCTTATTCTTAATCCACTTCCACAGCGTAATCATGTTCATGTTGTTTTTCAAATGCATATACAATTTGTTGTTGCAGTAACGTTCTTCG